GACTTCTATAAAAACTCCATGAATTTGGTGGGCAGGAGCCCCGTAAGAGTTTGTTGTGATGCCCTGCTGCTCTTGAAAACATAGGGTGGGGTGAAGGGAGGCAGGAGGCTTCTATGAAACCAGAGTTCCTTATTTAGGCATTTGGAGGGAAGGCTCCTTTATTTTTCCAGCTCAGAAATGCTTGGCTCCAAGTCCCTCACAGTTCCCCGCAACCCAGTATCTTCCAGATATTTTGAACTTCAACTCCCATCCTCCCTGACAGTTGGCCACACCAGATGGAACTGATGGGAGTTGTAGTTCCAAGCCATTGAAAGATGGTGGAGACTTGTGGTGTGAGTGGGGCGGTCACCTCTGCTTATGGGAAGTCTTTTGAAACCAAGACCACTGTTCCATTCAAAGCCAGCGGTAGCATCCTGGGCTTTAGAGGCAGATTAAGGCTTGGCTGAGGGACGCGGGTGGCACGGTGGGTTAAACCACAGAGCCTAGGACTTGCCGATCAGATGGTCAGCGGTTTGAATCCCCGCGACGGGGTGAGCTCCTGTTGCTCAGTCCCTGCTTCTGCCAACCTAGCAGTTCGAAAGCACGTCAAAGTGCAAGTAGATAAATAGGTACCGCTCCGGCGGGAAGGTAAACGGCGTTTCCGTGCGCTGCTCTGGTTCTCCAGAAGCGGCTTAGTCATGCTGGCCACATGACCCAGAAGCTGTATGCCAGCTCCCTCGGCCAGTAAAGCGAGATGAGCGCCGCAACCCCAGAGTCAGCCACGACTGGACCTAATGGTCAGGGGTCCCTTTACCTTTACCTAAGGCTTGGCTTATCTCAGAGCCACCAGAAAGCAACGCCTGCACAAGATGTGATTGTACTTTAGGCACAGATGTGGTCCTGCCAGGAATCAACACATCCCACTTCTTGTGTTTTCCTCCAGGCTACGATGACCTGACGCAGGGGACGGCAGCTGGAGATTACAGCAAAGGGGGATACGCTGGGTCGGCGCAAGCACAAAACAAATCCTCTGGCAGTGGACCAGGAAAAGGTAATGTAGCCGTTGATGTAGGTGCCTTTACTCCTTCTGTTGCATCAGAAGACCCAGAGCAGGGATTTTTACGCACATTACTTAACATTGCATCAGGCTCCCCCTTCAGCTGTCATCTGCAGCCACCGTTCGTCAAGCTGTAGAGGGAGCCTGATTGCAGAACCTTTTAATCGGCTCTGTTGAAAGACTAGCATCTTTTGGCTTCACCTCTCACTGAAATTAGATAGTCGGCCACTGGGGGAAGCCCTTTGAATGACTTTGAGAGTCTTACAGTTTTTGAAATAATTACATGTAGGCATTGTTTTGTAGTTCCCATTCAGAGAGCTTTCTCCAGTTCCTTCCAGGCTGAAGAGATGCACTTTTATCTTTTCTCAATTAAGTGTTACGAGATTAAACAAACCTCAGCATGCCTGGCCCAGAGCAAAGGGTTGAGGAAGACGATCCGGCCACTGCAAGCAGGACGTGAGAGCTGAATGGCCATTGTGTGCTCCTGTCCACGGCTGCTGAGAGGCATTTTATTACGTGCATGGCCACTGACATTTTATTTTACCCTCCTCTCCTGCAGAAGACACAAAAATGCATATGACAGGACACATGCAAACTTTATGCAAAACCGTGTCCTCCTTTGCCAGTGGTTTGGAGGGCTCAGTCCATGTGTGGATTCTCTCCTCCCCTCATGGAACAAGTCTTGCCTCCCATCTTGGCAGTTGCATTTTGCTGCCGCAGCTAGCAGCTACCTTCCATGAGTCTGTCAACATATATTTTAATTGCAGCTTGAAAGAGCAGCAGATCCTTCTGGGGTTTGGCAGGAAGAACCTCAGTGCTCAGTGCTCCAAAGAAGGGTGAATATCACCAGAGACAGTTTTTGGGCAGTACAAACTGCAGGGGACGCCACAACTATGCTGTAGAACGGAGCGTGCTTGCAAATTTTCACATTGCACAGGGCACCCCAATGCTTGAGAGCCCAAAGTCCGCCACTGACATCAGCTGTGAGGCTTGAGAAATCCCATTGCCTTTGACAGTTTTGATAACTCATTGTTCTCTCTTTTCTTTCCCTCCCTCCCTCCCCCCTCAGGTGTTTCTGTGACCTCAAGTAACACAGGTGTGCCTGATATTAGTGGTTCAGTCTACAATAAGACTCAGGTGAGGAACTGCCATGTGTCCAGCCGCTTTTGTGCCTGGGGTTCTGCTTCTTTTGACTCTCCCAGCCGTTTGACATCCCTGTTGGTGGGTCATCTTTTGGCTCTCTTTAGGTGCTTCTTCACAGAGACCTTGGTGGGAGTCAATGCTGAGGCAGAGCTGACTTCTTTCTCTTGAAAACATCTGGGGCTCTGTCTGAGCAGCTCATCTGCCCACCCCACCCCCAGACAAAAACACTGATCCCACAGTTACACCCTTGCCCATGTTTCTGTGCTCCACACACGTGGAATCTGATAGTGACAACTCTTGATGGCCCCTTTCAAGCTCCTTGTGCAGAGAAATGATTGTACATATACACAATGCTACAGAAATAAAACAGAATCAGCACAGAGGTACAATTCAGCATAACAGATAAAACCATGATCAAGGTGACTGGAGTCACATGCCTAAATTGGACAAATAAAAATGTCCATCACCAGGCACAGAACTGACATCAAAGGGGAGGCCTCCATCCACAGACCAAGTGCCATTGCTTTGAATGTTGCTCTAGCCCAGAGGTGGTTAACCTTTTTTAAGAGTGAGGGCTGCATGCACCCTTGGCCACCCTTCTGGGTCTGCTTGCGCACGCCTCCTTCCTCCAGCTGGTCTCTACAGATCTTTCCATGCACCTCCTCCACAAGGTGGCAGCGCAGGAAAGGGCCTTTTCCATGGCGCCTTCATTGCAAATCGTTAGGCGCCAGGCAAAAACAGGCTTTTTAAAAACTGGGTACTTGGAGGGTATTGTTTTCATTTGTTACTATGTTATGTATTTTTATATTAAAAACTGCACTCTAATTCTAGGATGAAGGATATAGTATAGAGATTTAATTACTCTCTTTTTTAAAAATCTCCAACGGGGGTGGGTAAAGAGGCATTATTACTCACTCTGCTCATCAAATGAGTACAGCAGCTTTTTTTTGTTTCCCCACTGGCAGCATGCATGATCTGGTTTCCCCCATAGGAGCCTTTTCACTCCCTGAACCTGGGATTGCCCCCCCCTTCCCCAGCTGTATCTGCCCCAAACTGAGCCTTGCCAGTGGAACATTTCTGAAGTGGAGCCCTGGTTGTTCCAAACAGCCTTCAAATCAAAACTCTGGTTGCAGATAGGTAAAGGTACCCCTGACCGTTAGGTCCAGTCACAGACGACTCTGGGGTTGCGGCGCTCATCTCGCTTTACTGGCCGAGGGAGCCAGCGTACAGCTTCCGGGTCATGTGGCCAGCATGACTAAGCCGCTTCTGGCGAACCAGAGCAGTGCACAGAAACGCCGTTTACCTTCCCGCCGGAGCGGTACCTATTTATCTACTTGCACTTTGACATGCTTTTGAATTGCTAGGTTGGCAGGAGCAGGGACCGAGCAACGGGAGCTCACCCCATCGTGGGGATTTGAACCGCCGACCTCCTGATCGGCAAGTCCTAGGCTCCGTGGTTTAGACCTGGTTAGATCTCTGGCTGCAGATACAGGTTCTGTAATAAGGGTTCGGAGAGAGTTCCCTTTCTGCGTGTCGAAGTGCCTTTTCTTATTTCCTTCTTGTGCAGACTTTTGACAAGCAGGTATTCCATGCCGGCACTCCGCCCCCCTTCAGCCTGCCGTCAGCCCTGGGCTCTGCAGGGCCCCTGAACCCTGGTGCTGCCCCCGGCTACGCTCCGGCTCCCTTCCTGCACATCTTGCCTGCCCATCAGCAGCCTCATTCCCAGTTGCTGCACCACCACCTTCAGCAGGACGGGCAGGTGAGTTGCCCTGGGGGAGAAATGCAGTCACATCGCCCTGAGAGGCACCTGAGAAGCACAAGATTGGGGAAATACCGTATTTTTTTGCTCTACAAGACTCACCTTTTCCCTCCTAAAAAGTACGGGGAAATGTGTGTGCGTCTTATGGGGTGAATGCAGGCTGCACAGCTATCCCAGAAGCCAGAACAGCAAGAGGGATCGCTGCAGATTAATTTTGGGGGGTGGGGGAGAGAAAAAGCGGATGTCCCGTTGCACGAGCGGAACCACGTTTGCCCAGCGCGGAGTGCAGCCCCGAGGGATGATGGGGACAAGGTGGTCAAAGCCAGAGCCCCCTCTGACCCGCCCAACTTCCCCTCCCCTTCTCTCTTTCCAGGGTGGATCTGGTCAACGCAATCCACCAAGCGCCCTGCAGCAGAAGTCTCAGGCTACCAAAACCGCCTATGGAACGTCTCCATACTGGACAAATTAACCCAACACAGGAGGAGGAGGAGGAGAAGAAGGGAGGGAAGACGCCCACTTCTCGGACTCCCACACCTGCCAGGAGACAATCCGCTAGGAAAGGGGGTGGGCTTGAGACAAGGCAACCAAGCGCTCAGCCCAGGCAGGGCAGATCCACACCCCCTCCTTGTGCGCGCGACTCCTTACCTGCTTCCTTTATGATTTGCTGTTGTATGTAATATATTTATGTATGTATTTGTAAATGTAATAGAGCCTAATGGTGGTTTCTGCATTTTTTGAAGCCTGTTTATTTCCTTAGAGGTAGCTTGGACACGACACTTACCCTTTCTCTGAACTTTTTGTATTTTTCTGATGATTTTTTTACATTTTCAAAGGACACAGTGTGCCATTTTCTTTCCTTATTTTCCATTTTGGAACCAGAGGCTTGATTCAAAAGCAGGTCTTAGCTCAGGCGAGTTTGTCAGACTCACAGGAAGAACCAGGTTCTGGGTTTTGTCTCCTCCTAGCTTTGTACCTGACATCTTGCTTTCTGAAGATTACAAGGAGCCGCCCTCCTCCCCTTCCTGCCAGCACAAGGATTTAACATTCACAAGAAGTTCCATTGCAGGTTGCAGCATCACCCCTTTTTATTGTTTTTAAAACACAAAAGCTACAGTGCTGTCTCCGCCACTGTTCGTTTTTGCAGCCAGCGCATACGGACTCTCCATCACATCCCAGAACTTTGTGTCTGCCAATTGGGCACAGCAGTGTAGCTGTTCTGTAAATAAGAAGGTGCGAAATAATTGTGTTTTGTAACTTGGCCTTTGGCTTCATGCCACAAACCTGAACTGGCTTGAAAAGAAACCAGTGATGTCTCCTCCTGCCCCTCAATTTTGGGAGTGGGGGCAGGGAGATCAGAAGGGTGTTTGTGGGAAGATGCCTCATTCTTCCTGTCCTACACCAACACAAGTGAATGTTTTAGAAATTTCATTTTTTATTGGCCTGAACTCCACCTAATAAAAGTTCTGAGCGTGTCAGTAGTGTTTGCAGCATCAGTTGTCAAAAGTCTTCCCCTCCCACCATTACCCTTAGCAGTTCTTAAGAGCAAGAGAGAACCATGACACTCTTGGCATCCTATTAAGTCTTCAAGGTGCCACAAGACTCCTGGTGGTTTTAATCTTTAGTTTTTCATCCTGGGTTGCCAGTGTGGCACCAGATCAGAGTTATAGTCCTAAATGTCTGGAGAGGCAACAAATTGAACTCTGGACCCACCAAGTAAGGCTCTAGTGTAGCTCAAAATGGGCACATTGGGTGTTTGTCCTACTTTCGCTGTCTGCGTATCAAAATACTATGGAACCTTTGAGCAAGGAAGGGGTAAGGAACATTAAAATGCACTTAATTTTTTATCACACCCAAGTTCCCTCTTGTTGCCTTTAGGTTGCTGTATCTTCCTTCATAGGAGGTATGGCTATTAACCCATCCAGCCCACCAGTCTACTCTTGCACACAGAGGTCTTTCCCATTACTTGGCTGCCCAGTCCTTTTAACTAGAGATGAAGTCCAGCTATTCCTCCACCTCCGGGAAGGATCCAGTTCTGGAGAATGCATGCATCCCTCTCCTGGGCATGTGGAACCAGTGGCCCTGCAGATGTTGGGCTTCTGATCCCATCAGTCAAGACAGATTCAACAGTCGGGGACAATGGGTGCTGAAATTCAGTAACATCTAGCAGGCTGCAGGTTCCTTACCCTGCCAAAGAGGGTTTCTTTTATTCCTGTTTTGCAGGTATGAAGCAAGTAGAGAAGGAAGTTTTATGTTAAGAAAGCTTACGTTCTTAACCAGCTGTGAACTAAAGCACCAAACTCTAGCTTTTATTTTACAAAATGCATTGCAAAGTGCTTTCAGATGCTCAACAATGACACACCCACCCCCTTTGCTGGAATTAGGCTTGAACATATGCTACTGGGGGTGGTGTGGGGGTCAATAGAAAACTGCTGTCAAACCTAAATAACAGGGCAAGGCCCCATGGGGTTGCATCCAGTCTCTGGGTCACCAGTTCCTCACTCATTATAGATTAGGCCCGTCACTTCTTCCCCAGCATAAGGCTCCCTCTTGTCTTGGGTGCAAAATCATGCTGGTAAAATGGAGACATCTGCAATCCTAAAATGAGGAAATTTACATAGCTTTTATTTGTACAATTTATTCTCAAGAGGAAAGAAATCGGGCTTCCTTCGCATTCTTTCTGACACGTGTGCTGTCTGACCTGCCTTCTGTACATGGATCCACGAATGGTCACACTTCAGTACTGAAACCATTTCAGCTAACTTCTGTTTAGAATTTTAACCCACTAATGCCATCTTTAATTCCCTAAAGTGCAGCCATTCGTTTTTGTAAACACACTGTTACACAAAAGAAGTTTTTCCATACTGTACTAGATGCAATCTCTGCCTTTCTCGGAACATAAGATAGCAAATTTCTATTTAGGCACATTTTCAATTTAAGTAATAATTTATGGGCAGATCCGCCTGAATTTATGTAACCAGAATAAGGATTTCAAATAGCAGTCTACTGGTGCCTTGTGTGGGAAAATTATCCTGCATAGGACGTTTACCTTACGAGCCATCACTTTCCCAAGTTCCTCTTTTACCTGCATTTTATTCCATAATTTTGGTTTACAGCAGTATTAACCCTGGAGATGCTCTTATCAAAGCACACGAGACCCCTTTAATCCATCTCATGATTTAGGTTCTGCCTTCCACAAGCTTATGCCATAATAAATTAGTATTTAAATGTGCTATGTTAAGATGCATGCAGTTTACCCTACATAACTGGTCAATACCTCAGTGGCAAGTTTAGGTGGTACTTTTAAGAAAACACATTTCTTTCACTTTGCACCTGAATAAAAGGAAAAGGTAGGATCAGTGCCCTAGGATCTCTTTTTCTGCTGTCACAGAGAAAGCAACTGTTGGGCAAAATCAGAACTTTTATCTCCTGGGTCAAGAGAAAGGAAGTAGCCAGAACCCTCCGCAACGGTGTAATCACAGCAGCAGGTGTTGCGGACTCCTAGGCTACAAACCACGTTTCCAAAAGCAAGGCACATGCATTACTAGCCCAATACTGAGGTTGCAAAGGCATAAAACGGATCATTCATGCAGCAAAATTATATCATAGAATGGTAGAGTTGGAAGGGGCCACAAGGGTCATCTAGTCCAACCCCCCGCAATGCAAGAATCTTTTGCCCCATGTGGGACTCAAACCCACAACCCTGAGTCTCACACTCTGCCAATTGAGCTATCCCCAGTAGGCTAACGACTATAAACAGGATGCACACAGGAAAACCCTAGATGGGATCTATTGGAGGTTTGCAACAGAAGCCTGTAGCAGGCAAGTCCAAAGTCCATTTCAGGGACCTAATCTGGCCCGCCGGTCGGTTTAATTTGGCCCCTGTGGCAGTTTATTTCCTGGGGTAAAATCTCCACGGCCCTTCACTTCCATCAAATCTGGCCCTCTTTGAAAAAAGTTTGGACACCACTGGCCTATAGGCTTCCATACAACTATACCAATTAGCAGGCCAGGTTGTCTCTATGGAAAAGGGAGCTCTATTCTTGGAGTAGCTGCCAGTAAGGATGCAGGATTCTTAGCCAAAGGCCCATAGAATCTACTTGAAAGCTTGCCATTTCTGTGGTTAAGGGAAGTAGAGGGTTATAATACTGGACCTAACCGCATGAGCATGTTCTCTTAACAGATGGGCCATTCTCCAAGATTTCTTTAAAAGACCAGTGAAGAAACTTAAAAGCCATCCACATCTATTCATTTAATTTTAGAAAAATACCTGAAGAACATGAAGATGTCTACTTAAAAAAAAAAAGTTTTCTTTCATTACAATTCCTATAGGGGGTCAGTGGAGAGACTGTTCCTTCTGAAATGGCAAAAAAATTGAAAGCATGAGCTATCCTGGTGTGACTTCTCCTAATATCCTGCTATAACCTTCATGGCACTGAAACATTGCTTCCTAAGTAGAAGTTTCCCAACAGCCCCTACCCTTTGCCTATTTTTCCTGTTGTGGTTATGGCGCACATGGCAGGTGGTTTGATTGCTTCGATTTCCACATCAGTTAAGGGGCAAGGCCCTGAAACACTCAGGTAATGCCTTCTTGAGTTCAGAGAGGATTCTGGCTTATATTTGTGTGTTGGCTGGTCTGCAGATTGCTGAAACCGATGCTACCCTGCAGGGCACAAGCTGGAGGGATGGAGCAAGCTCCTGGGTTTGCTCTTACCCATTTTCTCATGAAGGCAACACCCACCTTCGGAGAGGGGGGGAAATACATTTGAAGAGTACTGTACTATTATGGCATGAGCTAGTACGCACTGCTGCTACCACCTCACTTGGTACCCGCTCCATCAACATGCAAACCCCAGTTGCACCAGGTGGGTTCAGAATGCAACATCTGTGGGCAGGGGGGAAGCAAAAAAGGGGTTAAATGAGAGAAGCTTCCTTGTGTGTAGCCCCGTGCGAGTATGAGCAGAGAAGTGCTTCATAGACACCACACCTTATTTTGTGTTTTAGAAAGGCATGCAGGGAAAACACATGGCTGAACATGCATGGAAGGGACCTCTCCACTCCTAGTGAGACACGTCTGTAGTGACAATAGGAGCCACTAGAGAGAGGCCTCTCGTCTTTTGTCACAGGGAAGGCCACATTCTGGCTGTTTCCAGGCGATCACTTTTGCAAAGCAGTTGGAAAAGCAAATGGAGTGGGGGCCAGGGGGAGAGATTACAGGAGGTCTCGCCTCATGTGAGACACGTAAGCCTGTGTTAACTAATAAAGGTGGCTTTCGAAGAGGGAACTAACAATAGAGGTGTACTTTATTTCACATTTTATTAGTAGACAGATGTGCAGAAAAAAAACAAAACTAAATTACCAAAGGAAAGGGAGACAAAACACAAAAAGAAAAATAATGCATTAGTTAAATCTGGTCTGGTAAGTTGCATCAACCAAAGTGGGCGAGAGAGAGAGGGAGGAAGAAAAACATCCAGGATTTTAGCACTGAAAAAAAGAACATATCAAGATAGAATTCTAGTGCTCCCTGCTGGTTTCAGAAGGATTTAAGAACTGCATCTGAATTGGTTTCTGAGTTGGAAATGTAAACGCAGACACGGGTGGGGTAGGAGAGAACCAGGCGACCGACCGCTGGCTCCAGTAAACATTTGTCCTCAATCTCTTTAAGTAGCTTGATAGTTGCATTTCGGTGGGTTGGTTGGATCTCAAGAACAAGGAAGCCAGCAAGTCAGCAGGCAGTGACATCATGATGGGTTGGGGAGAGTCTGCCTGGCCAAGCAAAGAGGAGAGCACAAACTCCCAGAAACAGGTGCTCCCCACCCCACAAAAAAAGTGTTACGGCGAGGGGAGGACAGAGGTATAATAATGCATCTCACACCACCAAGCTTGAGAATACAAGTCACTGGAGAGCATACAGTGAAAACGGTCAAAGTACAAGAGAGAAATAGCTGAAAGACGCAGTATCCTCATTTCAGGTTGAGCCAAGAGCGACAATCCAGTCCTTCCTCTCATCGCCCAACTCAGGACAAGGAGCCACCCACAAGCCTGAATTTGAACAAAAAATGGTAACTTTCATTGGCTGCCCTGTTGGGAGAATTGGTGGCTGTACTTGCAGTGCCCATCTACACACACACACACACACACACACATCCTCCAAAGCATACACACAAACACACTCCGGATTGTCTTATGGCTAGTTGGAAGGGCTATGCATTTCAGTTCCTCTGCTTACACGCCAACTGTGCCCAACATCATGTCCTCTCCCATCTCTCTGGCTTCGCTCAAGTCCCCACATATGAACTCCACAGCAGCACCAACAGCTAACGCAGTCGGCCACCCTCCGATCACAGCTGCAACCGAGTTAGAAAAAGCACAGATCCTCGCCCCAGGCAGCAGGAGACTGAAAGATGAGCTGCCCGGGCAGAGGAACCAACAAGTTATCTGCTGGGTGCTGGGCCACCACGAGAGGTGCATGTGGGGCACTATTCAGTCCACAAGGCCTCCCAGAATGGCGAGCTATAAAGCAGGATCACCCCCCTAAAGTCCCAGCAGTGGGGTCATGGTGAATACCTGGGGTAACTCATCAGACCACCTCAGATGGAACTGGCTTGCTCCCTTTCCTGTAGAACCAGAACATTCACAGCAGGGATCCCAGCATTCAAGAGGCAAGCTGAGCTGGAATGGGGGCAGAGGAAACGGCCATGATGGGGCGACCACTTGGTTTCTACCTCTCTTCTTGTGGTCGTCTCTCATCACAGAGCTTCCCTTTCCTCGGTCAATTCAAGGCCTAGCAGAAATATGTCACAGGAGCACCACAGAAGCTACCATACAGCCAATCCTTGTCTACTGAACCCACCACTGTTGCAGGAAGTGGTCATGAAGCCCTCATTAATCCCCAAGGCTGTGAGCAGCTAACTTTCTCCACTGGAACACTGTTGTTGTCTGAACTGTGCACAAGAGCCGTCTCCCAGGATGGCGGGCGCATTTCAGGACAAGCATCGAAGCCAGCAGGCGAGGCTGACACAATTCTCCACAGCAACATCATCTCTCCGCTCCGAATGCCATCATGCAGCAAAGGGAATGTTTGCATGTGTCTAACTCATACTGGCTCATCCAGACATTTAAGACAAGGTGTGTCTACGGCCTCTGGTCTCTTTTAAGACAACCAAGGTTGAGCAATTAGAATCTGCCTTTGAGAGTCTGATCTGGGAGCCTGGAACTCCTCAAGGAATCCCCCCCCCCAGACCCAAGGACTGTCCCTGCCAAGGCCCAGCCCCCCATCACCTGGCAAGAACGCTCTCCCCTAGACAGCATGACAGGCACCCATCTGCCTTCATGGCGTCATGAATGCCACCTTCACCCAAGGATCCTTTGGCATCCTGCCCCAGCTGGGGCTCAGAGCGCGCTTGCCAGGGCTGGGGCCCCTGCAGGAAAGTGGCAGGCCACAGCGTTTCAACTACCTTTGCCCAGAACTAAGAGGCTGCTGGGGCTCTTCATTCGGAGGTGGCCACAGGAGGGGCCACAGCTGCCAGCGTTTATCCCCTACGGAAGACCAGCAACTAAAAGGGCTCAGTGGGACAAGAATACAGAGAGTTTTGAAGTGTTTATTGGAAGGTTCATATCACAAGACAACCACCACCCTCTCCCCACCCCAAATCTCTGGGTGGGGAGGGGGAGCAGATCCTTCCCCCCAACCACCCGTCTGTCCCCATCCCAACACGCACTTAGCAGAACTGAAATGGAATACTGGACCTTTCAGCACCAAATCTTGTCAAGCTCAGTACAATGGAGCTTAGGCTCTCTGCCCAACACCTTAGAAAGGGGGGGGGAGAGAGGAGAGAAAAACCACCACCACAAGGCTAAACAAGTGCGCACGCGGTCATCGTCAACGGAGCAGCAGCGAAACCTCGGGAAGTGCTCTGCAGCAGAGTTGCATTTGTACTTGTCCCTGTTTAAATGCAGCTCGTGGGGAGCGGCCCCCCACAGTCTCCGGCGTTAAATACATTAAACATCTTGATCAAAGACTGTTTAATTCAAGATCCTAAAGACAGAGCAAACCTGTTTTGAGTCAGGTTGTGAATGCTCCTGGAAAAGGCGGCGGGGAGAGTGAGAAGGGGGTGTGTGCGGAAAGAGCATCGCCTTCTTCCTTTCCTCGAGAGAAAAACAAAAAAACCAAAAACCCAGAACACAAGTGACGGGGGGCGGGGAAGAATGCAAGAATGGTGACGTTCTGCAGAGGGGCTTCCTTCCAAACAGAAGAGGAAGGGGTGGCGGGAAAGACCGAGATCCATACAACAGGAGAAAGCAGGAGGCGCGGGCTTGGTTGGTATCCCCCCTCCCATGTATATATGTATTTTTTTTGCTGAACTGTCACTAGGTTACCGCTGCTCCTCGCCCCCTCTGGCACAGCAGGCGGAGCGGGGCGGGGGCCGGAGGGAGCAGGTCACGACTCCTCGTTGCCAGAATCATCGTCGTCGTAACAATCGGCGTCCTCCTCCTCTTCCTCATCCTCGTCGTCAATGTCATCGTCGTACAAGTCGTCATAAAGCAAATCTGAGCTGTTGTCACTGGAAGGCACTTTAGTTTTGATGCAATATTCCGCCAGCGTGGTAGGAACCTTCACCCCGTCCTTTTCCGCTTCCGCCTTGGTGGCCTGGACTTGTTTCCTGGGAGGCGGGGAAAGGAAGGTGCCACACAGTTAGGACTGCCCACCAGGTGGCCATGGCAGGCAAGCTTGTCTCCGCCAGGCCTTCGCTGTGTGCACCCGAATTGCACATTCACTCAGTTGGCCCTGGGCAGAACCAGGAGCCCCCTTCCCCTGGTTGCAGGGCAGAAGGTAAGAATTTAAGCAGAGCCTGCTGGATCAGGCCAATGGCCCATCTAATCCAGCCTCTGTTTTCACAGTGGGCCAACCGGATGCCAATGGGAAGCCAGCAAGCAGGATTCGAGCACAAAAGCAGCTCTTCTGTGATTTCCAGCAACTGGTGTTCAGAAGCATTACTCTGCCTCCTACTGCAGCATAGCCATTGTGGCTAGTAGCCATTGATAGGGCTCAGCGATTTTGTCTAATCTCCTGTATACCTGAAGGAGCGTCTCCACCCCCATCGTTCAGCCTGGACACTGAGGTCCAGTGCCGAGGGCCTTCTGGCAGTTCCCTCACTGCAGGAAGTGAGGTTACAGGGAAGCAGGCAGAGGGCCTTCTCGGTAGTGGCACCCGCCCTGTGGAATGCCCTCCCACCAGATGTCAAAGAGAACAACAACTACAAGACTTTTAGAAGACATCCGAAGGCTGTTTAGGAAAGTTTTTCATATTTAATGCTGTATTGTTTTTAACACTCGATTGGAAGCTGCCCAGAGTGGCTGGGGAAACTCAGCCAGATGGGCATATAAATAAATTATTATTATTATTATTATTATTATTATTATTATTATTATCCATCCAATTTGGTGGCCATCACTGCCTCCATAACTATGTGCTGTGTGAAGAACCTGTGCAAATCTGTGCCACATTTTGAGAGCACCAGACATACCTGACAGCCCCTCTCCCTTCTGTGGCTGGCCGTCTCCTGAACCCCAAGGTCGGCGTACAGGAAAAAACAATGGCCACTGAGTCAGACAATAGTTCTGGGGCACAGCAGGTCAGGCTTTACTGGTATTGTCACAGGATCCCTGGCTACTGCCTCCAAACTCTGCCTGTGTAAGGAAGCTTCTATAGCAGGGCTAAGGGATCTGTGTCCCGTCCCGTCCCCAGCTGTTGCTGGAATACAACTGCCATCATCCTGGACCACAGATTGGGGACCAGCAAAAGCTGGAGGCACACAGGATCTCCACCCACTGCTCCGATATCTTTGTTTTTCCTTAGGGAATTGTTTTGGTCTGATGGTGGTGAGATTTAAGAGGTCTCTGAATCTGTTCACAGAACACAGAAAGCGTGTTAATGCTCTTGTCCATTTGCCTGGTGCCAGCACAGTCCCACTGGCTTGCCTGGACGTAGCAGCCAGAGATGGAGAGACAAAAAAGAGGAACAGCTTCCCCTTTTAGGTTTAGGTGCACTGCGACTCTCTGGGAGTTTCGCGTCCAGCAAGGAGGGGAAACTGCAAGCGAAAAGGCAGAGGTGTCACACAGAAAGGCCAGGTGGAAGGAGGAGGGGCGCACCGGTAAGAGAGGGAGAGGAGGGGCATGTGAGGCCACAAACACCCCAAATGAAAATCTGGCTCCCAGGCCAGGCTGCTGGGAGAGGGACCAGAGCAGAGGCCAAGATCTTCCAGTTCATGCTCCCACACAGCAGAGGTGGGAAAGGCCTCTAAAATATTACTGAGGCCAATGGTCTGCACCAGGAGGGGGCTTTGCTCTTCTCACACATTCCTCAAGGTTTGGCCCCAGAAAGGAGAGCCGACCGCCCCCGTTGGGATATCCCACCCACCTGGAGTGAGAGCCGGGTTCTGCTTGGCTTACCGAATGATCTCAGCATATTCTTTGTCTTTGCCTTTGCTGTCCCTCCATTTCCTGAACATGACCGAAGCATCGACGTTCGCCGGAGAGAAGGTGTTGGGCTCATTAAGCAAAGAGATGACGCTCAGTAGGATAGTCCTGGGAAAAAGCATGAGGAGGAGGAGGAGGAGGAGGAAGAAGAAGAAGAAGAAGATGGTGAAGGGGAAGGGGAAGAAGAAGAAAGAAAGAAAGAATCAGGGCCACAGCATTGGGCAAGTCTGCACCTGCAAGGATGAACAGCAGGTTGTGATTCTGAACAGGTTTTGTCACAGAGCAACCACACTGGAGGGGAATTTCTCACTGGCAGGGATCAAGTGGATTCTAGCCTGCCATTTAAAGCAAGGGCCCTTTAGGTATTGTTGGGCTGCAATCCCCATCAACTATGGCCACCTGGTCACTTTGCCTTGAAATTGATGGGCTTCTCACAACATCTTGGGGGCTCATCCCCAATTTGAAGCTTGCAGCCTTAACCCCGACCACTATTTTTGCATGTTCATGACAGGCAAAGCAATCTTCCATAGAGACTACGGCTGAACTTCTTTGTGGGGTGCTGGCAGGAGTTCTTACACAGCAATGAGGTACTGAACATCTCTGGACCAAGGACACCGATGCCTGGTTCCCCGGACCTGATGCTTTACTTTACAGTGGTACCTCGGGTTACATATGCTTCAGGTTACAGACTCCGCTAACCCAGAAATAGTACCTCAAGTTAAGAACTTTGCTTCAGGATGAGAACAGAAATTGTGCTCTAGTGGCGCGGCGGCAGCAGGAGGCCCCATTAGCTAAAGTGGTGCTTCAGGTTAAGGACAGTTTCAGGTTAAGAACGGACCTCTGGAACGAATTAAGTACTGAACCTGAGGTACCACTGTACTATTCTGCTGGTACATGACCCCATCACCTCTCTCATGAGCCTCACAATAAATAATAACAGCCACCACTGCCACACTAAACCCCCATGAGCTTCTGTGTGTGACCACAGCTCATGCTTCATTCATTCATTCATAAATAAATAAATAAATAAATAAATAAGGAACCCAAGCTGCAGATCTGGGATTCAGGGTTTGAAGAAGCAAGGCCAACATGGTCCCCCCCCCACCCCACAGCTGCTGCTAGACTACAGCTCCCATCAGCCCTCAGCCAGCACAGCCAACAGGCAGGGAGGATGAGAGTTGGGGTCCAGAACATCTGGGGAGCATCACGTGGACGATCCATAAAAGGTTATCTGGTGGTACCCAACACTTCTTATTTGCAGGTTGGAAAACGTAATGTCACTAGAGAAGGAGGACCCCCAGCTCCAGAACTGAGTTGTGCATTGGTACAGAATCCTCTCTCTGAAGGGCCTTACCTGACATTCTGGGTTGGGTTCCACCTTTCAGATGGCAGCTCTCCACTTTGAGGGTCATCTACAGGTGGGTGAAGGATTGAAATACATACATCTCCATTCTACCAAAAGAGAATACACACACAGGAGGTCAGCTGATGCAACGGACAAAACACCTTCTGCAGAGTATACAGAGCATGGCTGAGCAATATATCGATACAGTCCAGTCCATATTGTGATATTGGCTGCATATTTTTGGCCTGGCACTATATCGCGAATCACGATGCGTATGTGTGTATGCTATGCAAAAACCACAATGAGGGGGAAACCGTGAAGCCAGCCATTGCTTCTCTCAATTTCTACAGCCCGTTAATTCTGCCGGCTCAACTCTCCCCTGCCTCCTGCAGGGGACAGCAAATCACAGGAGCTTGCAGAAATCGTGATACGGGAAAAACCATGAAGCCAGTGCTCCATCCTTATTTCAGACATCGTGGTCTAATGTGATGTTTAGCTGGTGATGTATCACAATGCTGAAAATCAGATATCGCCCAGCCCTAATACAGAGGGGCCCACAATAAGACAGAAAACCCTCGACCACACATACACACCTCTACTTATCTGGTTATGTCCTGAACCGAACCTTTTTCACTAGAGGGAAGGGTGCACTTTCAAATGTTAGCCACCAAGAAAATATACACTTCCAACCTTAAGAATACAAAATATTAACCACTGCTTAAGCAACTCCCCTGAAAGTGCTTCCTACAACCCCTTGTAAAAATATACATTTATTTCTTTAAGCAGTGTTCCAAAACCACAGTATTCCAGAAGGGGGAGCCAGAGCTCTCCGAAAAAAGGGAATAAAGTTGCCATCCGCACTTCCTGATTTAGGAGTTCCCTGCCTAAACAGAAAAAAACCCTTTTGCTCCAATAAAAGGGGGTGAGGGAGATACTAGAGGCCAGCTGGCAAACCTGATATTAAAGAAGAGTTTAATTCTGCCATTCTGGCTCTGCAGATGAACACCCCTTTAAAAGAGCAAAGCCCAGAGGCTCTGGTGCTCTGCCATATCCCCCGCTAGTGGGGATGGAAGCAAGAAATACGAGACTTGGGGTGGGGGGAGAGATGCAGAGCAGCTGCGCTGTTGCTCTCCTCCTTCAAGAGGCCAGAGACAAGGTTAAACATGCAAGTCCACAAGTGGAGAGTGTTTGGCCTCTCTGACCATAGGGCTAAGTTCACACAGCCAATGCAGGCCAACCCATCAGAGAGCACACAAGTTAAGAAGCCCAGGACAGCAGAAGGGATGGAAACAAAGAAACAGCCAACCCCTAATCCTGCTTTTGCAGGAGAGAGAAGAGGAAGCTGTTGCAGCAGGAGCAAGAGCCAAGTGTGTCATGGAGGAGAACAGGACCAGGCAAGGCTACCGCTTGGATTTCAGTCTCTTTCTCGCTTCAAGTGCTCCAGATAGTCCCATTTATCTTCATGGCGGTGAAGAAGGATTAAATATGGGGAGGGGGGAAGGAAGACAATGATGTAGAGAAAGAGAAAGGAGGAGAAAAGGGAGGTTTCGATGCCCTGGTAAGGAAGGAGGCCACAGCAGTTGAAATTTTGACACCACGAAAGACACCTACCTCATAAATGTTGGGATGCCACATTTTGGTCAGGAATCTGAAGGTAGGTGGTGAATATGGGTAGTCCATAGGAAATTTAATATGCGCCTGGAACAGAGAACAAAACCCCAAATTTAAACACTTGTTAAGCTCAGGAGAGCAGCAGCAAAAAATTCACACCCATGCTGTTCCACTACCTCCACATTTGGTGACGCTGAGTTTGGAGCTGGACAGACTGAGTGTCATGGGAGTGAGGACCTCGCCTGGGGATGGTGGGCAGCGAGAGAGAAGGCAGCTGACCATGTTGGAAGGGGGAGCTTTATGGTAAGAATGAAGTGACAACCACAAGAAGTTTGCAAGCAAGAGAAGGCGCAGGAGTAGTGACTACGGAAATATTTGGCAGAGTTGGAATTAAAAAGTAAGAATCACAGGAAGAGGGGAAAAGGGGCAAGCCGCAGAGCTCAAGGGGTGAAGAGCTGGAATAAGTTGTAAATGCATGGACTAAAAACTTGAACTTGAATGTCGAAAAAGGAACAGCTTGTCTAGTCCAAGCCCTAACAAAGTCCACTATTACTGCATCCATGAAAAATGTGGGAAACCTCCAATTATTAGATAACGGAGCCTCAAGAAGAGGGGAAACTGTATCCCAACGTAAGATTTTAGAAGTCATACACAACATCCTAAAAAAATATAGGCAGACTTGGACTATGGAAACCTGGGTACAAAGTTCAGACACGAAGTTCACAGGTTGGCATTAGGTTAGAATAAATGGTAGTGATTATTCAAGGAGGAAATGGGGTATATATAGCCTTGTGTGTCATCTCAAGTGCCTTGGAGGAAAGGCAGAACATAACAACGTAATACACGATAAATAATAAATTTCTGGGCAAGACCAGGGAAACTAAGCTTTGTGTGAGTCCAGGGATATAGCAATGACATTTCATAATTTTTAAAAGCATTATAATATTAGAAAACTACTGTGGCCCAATGCAGATAGTTTTGGAGATGTTTGAAGTACAGTACTGGTAATCTGTGAACCTAGAAGTTTAGTGCAGCTTCAAGCAACACCTTTATACGCAACAGCCGGTGTTTCAAAGTGGCACCACGTGGCATAACCAAATTAGTGAGACCAACTGCAGTTCTGACCTTCTGATAATAATAATAATAATAATAATAATAATAATAATTTATTATTTATACCCCGCCCATCTGGCTGGGTTTCCCCAGCCACTCTGGGCAGCTTCCAACTGAATATTAAAAACAATACAGCGTCAGACATTAAAAACTTCCCTAAATAGGGCCGCCTTCAGTTGTCTTTTAAAAGTAAAATAGTTGTTTATTGCCTTGACATCTGCTGGGAGGGCGTTCCACAGGGCAGGCGCCACTACCGAGAAGGCCCTCTGCCAGCTCCAGGTCATTAATGACTTCTGGAAGGTCTATGTGCTAACACAGACTTCTCATTCAGCAGCTGCCCCCAGCTGAGTTAATGCACCTCCCATGAACAGCTTTTTAAATGCACAACTATGAAAAAAGGCAAATGACAAGGTGGACAGAATTCACCAGAAAAGGCCACTACAGAAATGTTTAAAAGGGTTAGCACAACAGCAGCATGGCCAATTCTCTGAGGGCAGGATTCCCCTTGGCTTTTGCCTGAAGTAGTTTGCATGACAGGAGAACTCTCAAGTCTCCTAGGAACACACCAGCGGCTCTAGCAGGCAAGGAAAACCCTCCAGCATGCCTGACTCAGGAAGTGGTAGCAGCAACTAGGATGTGTGTGTGTTTAGAAATAACATACGTGAACATGGCTTTGCTATTTATAGCTGGAGGAGTTTCCAACCCCAAAAGCGGCAGATTGTGATTTTGGAGTGAACACTGAACATTTCAGCCCGATGCATTTGAAAACAAGCAGATGGTCACTTTCTTAAAAGGACAGTTGAAGAAGACAGGGAGGGAGGCAATGCCTCATGCAGAGACAGGCCACCAGCCCCTCCAGCACCATACTGTCCACAATGACCAGCACCAGTAGCCAACTCATCCAGGCCCCCCAATAGGTGACCTCCTTTTATTGAACCAGAAGATGGGGAAATAGGATGGGTGATTGTGATGATGGCGGTGATTCACCCAAAGCTACCAAGGTAGGCACAACATTAACACATGATATTACAAACAGTTTGAAACAACTCACAATCACAAAAATAAGATGGCTCCTAGAAACACAGACCTCAAGCGTCAAGAGCAAGGGTAAGGAGGTGCTTCACCGGAAGCTATACAAGGAAGGTGGCAGCTGCACCTCGTAGGGAGGGAGCTCCCCAGCTCAGGGACCACCACAGAGAAATGTCTTCTCCTGGGCTGCCACCTCCCTGAGCCTCTGAGGGCAGAGGAACTCCCAAGAGGGCCCCCTCTGCTGATCTCAGCACCCGAGAGGGTCTGCAGGGAAGGAGGTGCTTTTGCGGGTATTTGGGGCCTAAGCAGTTTACAGCTGTCAACACGAACATGAGCACCTTGACTTGGGCCTGAAAATGAACTGACAGCCAGCACAGCTGTTTTAAACTGGGGGTTATATGTAAACAGAACACCAGCCAGCAATGGTACATCTATGGCCCCCTCTGAAGCGCCACAGAAGCAGAGTCACTCCCTCGGACAGCGCTCTCCAAGGGACGGTTTGCAGGTGACAAAAACTCACCACAGAAGCTAGTCTCATTTTAAATGCATGCCATGCTTTTGTGTTTTAAACTGTTTCTAATTATCTCATGTGCCATTTGCCTTGAGACAGTTGCTTAGAATGCAATTAATAAATCGATGATGGTGATAATAATAGAACCACCACCATGTTTTTCAGCGGAGGCGGTTCAGAGCGACTTGTGAGTAAAAGAGCAACAGCAGGGTGATGTAATCGATGGGTGAAGTCAGCAGGCAGTGTACAGCTGAAGGCTATTTTGAGGAGAAGAGCCCTGATCAAGCAGCTCTTTATGCAAGCAAGGGATTCTTCGTCCACTTCGCTGTCTAGGGCATCCCTGCCTCCCCACGGGGCACCCAGGGGGGCTGCTAATGGTCACACCAGCCTGGCAGGAACATTAGCGTTCCGGCAGAGCTCCAGAGCAAGCTGCGGGGCTGATATATCTTTGCTGGGGGAAATCCTCAGGTTCCTAGAAGGCACGGCAGCAGCCAATGGTCAGTTTCACATTTGCGGTCTCTCAAGCCAGTTAGAAATTGAGCAAAGAGCCGTTTCTTTCATCTCAGAAGACACCCACATGACCTTACATTCAGAAATGTTTCATAATCACAACCACACACACACACACAAAATATCAATTTAGAAGATTGGGTGTGGGTGGCTGGGAAGATCAGAAATGATTACATTACAGAAAAGGAACACACAGAAGTATATTCAAACCATATCAAATACGTTTTTTAGAATCAATGTACCATTTTTTATTTTTTATGATAAACAGCACCCTCACCACCAAAATTTAAAGCACCAATTCCAAAGCAAATCCATGTGGTTGACAAAACATTTACAGCGCTCATAAGAGAGCTACCATAATACCTATAAAATACAGGAGCTGTATGTTGAAGTCTGTTTGATGGGTGACTATTATTCAGCAGTGTGGTAGTGCTTAATACACATTTAGGGAATGTGTTGCACTCTTTAGCAGACTCTAGAAAGACCCTGATGTTGGGAAAGATGGAGGGCACAAGGAGAAGGGGACGACAGGACGAGATGGTGGGACAGTGTTCTCGAAGCTACCAGCATGAGTTTGACCAAACTGCAGGAGGCAGTGGAAGACAGGAGTGCCTGGCGTGCTCTGGTCCCTGGAGTCACGAAGAGGCGGACACGACTAAACGAAAACGTCTTTCTGGAATGCACAAGCACCCCATGTTTCCACTTGCAAAAAGGGCAGTGTGAGGCCAGGCGATGGTGTTGTGGTGGAGGTCCCCTCCTCCCTCCGGATAGGCTTTTCCAGCACTAAGCACAGCGGTGCCTTGGGAACGTGACATCAATTGCATAAGCCGTGGGATTCCCTCTGAACTTGCAGCAGCAGCAGCAGCTGGACCCTGCTGGCTGAGGACATAGCGGCTTTGACAAGCATCTGAATTTGAGAGTTTCCTTTCATTTACCAGGGAAGATTCCCCATTAATAATAAAGGAGGGTGGGAGGACATTCCCAGATTGTTTCCATGGCAACAGCTCAGAGCTGGAGGTTTCTATTCTGGTTCCAGGAGATGCACAGGAATTTCTTCCCATGAAATAATTCCTCCTCTTTTCCACCTTAAGGTAACAATCAGTGCAGGATTGTGAGCCCATTTTCCATGGAGGAAGAAAAAGAGACAGACATTTATGGGGATGGGGGAAGAACAGATTCCGGTGCAGCCTGGTGGTGCCAGTTTTTACCCCAAAACAAATAATGCCTACAAATGCAGTTGACCCATAGGAGGGACACTCATCGGGTCTCCTGCCATTTACACGTGCCATTTCTGGATGCACGCACATCTCATGGCACACCCAGGCAGTGCATGTGAGGCAGCCAGGCAGCTGATGAATCTCTGGTGCTCTCACTCTTTGTCAGTCTCCCGAGTCAGCAAAAAAGAAAAAAAGAGGTTCAATTAGCCTCAAGCTGTGAACAAGACACACTAAAACAGTTAGCAAAAGAGAAAGAAAAGGTAGAAAATCTCTACATGCCAACCTAGACAACACCAAGAATTCTCCTTTCGCAATGGCTGCAAAGCTGAGCCACGCCAGATGCTGGAAAGGCGATCTGTATGTTCCCTTCATCCCTCCACATAACTGCTAAAGCCTCTGAAGCAAGAGGTTTGCGTCAGGCTTTGATAACAGCCTGCTGCCGCCCCAGTTGTGGTCTCCAGTGAAGGGTAGGTATGAATGGTGGGGGAATCTGAACTAGTTCTCAGCCAAGATCCAGGGGCACAAGTACCCTAGCATTTCACGGCCCAATGTGGACACTGTTTAAAATTCTTCTTAACACTATCTCTTCCCGAACCAAGCTCAAAGTACTTCCTCATTAAGCATCCATTAGGAAATTTAAAATAAAGGAGCCAGCATATTCTAGGGAGACTGTGGGGCGGCCAACCCATGTTGCACAATTGGGTACTCCCATTTGCTTTTCATTCTACCTGCTCTACCCTTCCTTTACAGACCTAAAACTGGAGAAGCAGGTGGTAGTCCAGGTCTTTATTTCAAAGTCTGCCTTGACACTCTCAGATGTCTGCTTGCAGGATGGATTTCAGCTGCTAGGCAATCTCAGAAACCGGAAGCTGGCCTGGAGCAAGCCTACCTCCTTGCCCTCAAGTGCTGAGGATGTTATTTTAAAATTAAACGTCCTTATCAACATGGAAAGGCAACGTCCTGCTCAAATCACAGCTCAGCTGCAATTCAGCCGCCAGGCTGCACTGAGAAGCCAGCAAAGTGGGTCACGGGGCAATGGCCAGCCTTGAAACGAACCGTGCCCAGTGCCACTGCTGGCTCATCATTCACCATCTCTGCACACTAGGTGGTGTTTAGGCTGAGACTCTGGCAGCCAGAAGCAGAATCTTGTGGCTCCGCTTGTGCTGGAGCAGTTTTTTTTCCCCTTTTCTGTAAATGGCAGAGACGTGATGAAGCAGAGTACAGCTCCTCCCTTGGCAACGGGCAGGCTGCATGTTCTGAAGCAATCCTTTCCCTTGCCAGGCAGGTTTTGCTTTCTGCTGCTTTGTCAGCACAGGTTGCCAGTGTCCGCCTGCAGCAGGGCCTGAGCACCACAAAATGAGGAGGGGAAGGAAGCAGACGTGTAGCACAACAGCTGCAATTTTCACCCTGGTTCCAAGCGGAGCTGGACCTTAGGGTGGGCTAGTGAGCTGCACCACACTCAGCAGAGAAGCAGCGGCAACACTTTCAGAAGGAAAAAGCAAGGAAGTGAAGGAAGAACAGGACAGTTCTAGGAAGAAGCTGCAGTTCCGCGTCTGATTCAGGAGCATCTTTTGGGGTGGGGAGCCCGTCGCAGCCCACATTTCATCCAGGGGCTGCACACCAGGTGGTGGGCAGGGGCAGAGCCAGGAGTGAGTGGGTGTGAATCTCTGCACATAAAAGCCAGAGGCTTCTACACACAAACACCTCCCTCCATCCAGGCAAGCAAGACACGTTTATCACGTACAAGCACACATTCTGCCTAGAAACAAGAACTCAAGGAGGGTACGGTGAGGGGTGTGGTCTGCAGAAAGTTCGAAGGGCCAGACAGAGAAGTATGGGGGCCATATCTGCCCCATGGGCTTGGCGTTTCCCCAGCCCTGCTTTAGGAGACACTGCCAATATATTCTGCTGTCTAATGCTGTGCAAAGGTTTGCTAAAGCAGGTTGGGCTTGGGCAGGTGTGAAACGCAACTGATGGAGATTACAAGATAGGAAGTATCTGGATCCCTCCCCCTCCCATCTCGCTACCTCTGCCCACTTTGTTGGAGGACAACCACATATACTTTGAACGGGCAGAGAGAGAATGGAAAAGCAATTCAATTGTAGACTAAAGGGTAAAGGTCAAGGGACCCCTGACCATTAGGTCCAGTCATGGCCGACTCTGGGATTGCGGCGCTCATCTCGCTTTACTGGCCGAGGGAGCTGGCGTACAGCTTCCGGGTCATGTGGCCAGCATGATGAAGCCGCTTCTGGCGAACCAGAGCAGCGCACAGAAATGCCGTTTACCTTCCCGCCGGAGCGGTACCTATTTATCTGCTTGCGCTTTGATGTGCTTTCAAACTGCTAGGTTGGCAGGAGCAGGGACCGAGCAACAGGAGCTCACCCCATCGCGGGGATTTGAACCACCGACCTTCTTATCGGCAAGCCCTAGGCTCTGTGGTTTAACCCACAGCGTCACCCGTGTCCCAATTGTAGACTAGAGGAGGCAATAAGGACACTGTTGAGGGACTGGTATCACTTGGTAAGAGGCACCGCCTCCTGCCTTGGGCTTCTTAAAGGAGCAGGCAGAGCACAAGACCACACACCTTGCAGCGATTAGCATGGTGGGCTGCATTCCACACCACACAACACCAGCTACCATTATGCAAACCAAGAATGGACTAAAGAATGGACTGAAACACCCCTTTTGTTGTATTTTTGCACCAGGGATATACTCTGCAGAGGCATGTATATTTCTTTCACAATTCTTTATATAAGAACTGAAGCATGCCAAATATTTGTGATCAGGTTGATCCAGTGTTTACCTGCATCTAGGAAAGACACCTTCCACTCCCAACTGTCAGCGCCCCTGGGGAGTCCTGAGCCAAGATGTGCCTGTTTCTGCCGCTCCCAGTTTGTAATGTGGGAATAAGGACTAGCCTCACAGGGCAGTTCCAAAAAGACAAACAAAGGAGAACGTGCCAAGTGCTATACAGTTTAACAGGCTCCATCCTCGTGTTACTCAAAGGCATAAACATGTAAAAAGAGGAATGAACTAACAATTCAGGCATGGTTTGCTTGGCACAGACCAAAGCAACCTGAAACCTACACCCACATTAGCTTCCACTCAGCTGGCAGAGGCACCATCACTACACATGAATACGGACATATTCTATACTAGGAAGTATAGACTCTATGAACAAACAGTAGCAGAAGATTTGACCCTTAGGTCTCCCTCGCCCCCCTTACAAAAACTCACACTATTAGCAGACTGTTAAGGTCTTCTTGAATTGCAAAAATCCACTAACACAGGTGTTTTGTGCACTAAAATTATGGCCATGCTATTTTTCCAGTTGTATGCAATAAGAGAAACTCAGATGCTCATCTGTGCTGCCTTTTAGGTGAAACACAGACATATGGTTCAAAAGGTGCAACTTGAAAACTGGATTTCCAAGTTAAAAAAACTGCAGTTGAACATGGATTCTGGAGTTTTGGGGAAGCAGATGTGCCTCCTGATAGGCCTGGGAAAGGTTCACTGACAGAAACCCTAGAAAAGTACTGCCAGTCAGTGTAGACAATACTGAGGTAATGGGCCAGGAGTACAAGGCAGCGGTCTATGGTCTTATAAGTTCAGTCTCATGACTGCCAAAGGTAAGATTCCTCCACTCAGCCATAAACACAGTGTGGGACCTGACATGTTTTCTTAGTGCAATCTCAAGAGGGTCTGAAACCACCCAAAAAAAAATGGGACCAGAGGATATACTGTTAACATTGCTTTTAGGCACGGTGGTTTGTGTGCAAAAAGGAATCCGATGACCGACCAGCCACTGAATGTTCATTTGGGTTTAACAAGAGGTGGCAGCGGCAGCAACAACTTCTGCCAGCCAAGAGCAGAGAAGTGACTCAGCACTTGGAGGTGTGTTACAATCTGGAACTTGCCCTCGTCACAGAGCAATTAGCAAGAGCCGTTGCTGCACCAGATGGAGCCGAAGGGTAAGCAGATCCTCCTTCCCCCAATAAAAAACAGCACAACACTTCTTGCTGCCGAGGAAGAATTGGCCAGCGCAAGCTTGCAATTAAGCAACTATTTCTGCTAGACTAGGAACCACTCAAGGCTTTAAGCAGCCCTGAGTATCAACAGGCTGTCCAGGTTGGGGGCCGTCCATGTCAACAATAGCAACTAAAACAACCTGGGTTGTGACCTGGGGGGCCAGCCACCGCCTCTCAGCCTAACCTACCCCTCAGGGTTGTTGCAGGGATAATAAGGGGAAGGGGAGAACCAACATGAGGTTCCTAATAAGGAAAAGCAGGATGTGAAGCATAGGGGAGGCAGCATTCTACTTATGCAGGCAAGCAGGCCCCTGGAATAAACACTGGGGGTGGAAGTGTGTGGGAAAATAATAGAATCACAGAATTGCAGAGTTGGAAAGGACCCCAAGGGTCATCTAGTCCAACCCCTGGCAATGCAGGAATCTCAACTAAAGCATCCCTGACAGATGGCCATCTAACCTCTTCCAGGTGTGCAGCCTGGGAGTCATTTTGGACTCACAGCTGTCCATGGAGGCACAGGTCAATTCTGTGTCCAGGGCAGCTGTCTACCAGCTCCATCTGGTATGCAGGCTGAGACCCTATCTGCCCGCAGACTGTCTGGCCAGAGTGGTGCATCCTCTAGTTATCTTCCGCTTGGACTACTGCAATGCGCTCTACATGGGGCTACCTTTGAAGGCAACTAATCCAGAATGCAGCAGCTAGACTGGTGACTGGGAGCGGCTACCGGGACCACTGGTCTTGAAAGACCTACACTGGCTCCCAGTACGTTTCCGAGCACAATTCAAAGTGTTGGTGCTGACCTTGAAAGCGCTAAACAGCCTCGGTCCAGTATACCTGAAGGAGTGTCTCCACCCCCATCATTCTGCCCGGACACTGAGGTCCAGCACCGAGGACCTTCTGGCAGCTCCCTCATTGCGAGAAGCCAAGTTACAGTGAACCAGACAGAGGGCCTTCTCGGTGGTGGCAACCACCCTGTGGAACACCCTCCCACCGGATGTCAAAGAGAAAAACAACTACCAGACTTTTAGAAGACATCTGAAGGCAGCCCTGTTTAGGGAAGCTTTTAATGTTTGATGCATTACGGTACTTTAATATTTTGTTGGAAGCCGCCCAGAGTGGCTGGGGAAGCCCAGCCAGATGGGCGGGGTAGAAATAATAAATTATTATTATTATTCCAAGGAAGGAGAGTCCACCACCTCCTGGAGGTGTCTGTTCCACTGTCGAACAGCTCTTACTGTCAGAAAGTTCTTCCTGATTTTGAACCGGAATCTCCTTTCCTGTAACTTGAATCCATTGGTTCGGGTCCTACCCTCTTGAGCAGGAAAAAACAAGCTTGTTCCCTCTTCTAAGTGGCAGCCCTTGAGATATGGAGAGTAGCACAGACTGTAAGCAACGGGAAGCCACAAGGGGAGCTTTACATCACAACTTTACATGAATGAGCATAAGGAGCAAACAGAAGAATTATTATATGTATTTTTAAACCACTTTTCAAAAGTATTCCCACGGTAGTTCACAAGAACTAACAAATTTTAAAAAATTTAAATGCAAACAACCCTTAGACTAAAAGGCTGCAAAATTACCAAGGTAGCACGAAGGTGCTAAAAAGGAATGGTTGCTTGAACACCACCACTCTCTTCCTTTTCAGAATCCTTGAGATTCCATTTCTCTTTTTTGTTTACATCACTGGGTGCCTCCTTTTTTTTGTGCATTTCCACAAGATAACAAAAGCAGCGTTAACAGCCACTAGGAATGAAATGTCATCTAAAAACCTTGGGGGAAATAAAGAGTTCTTCTACTGGAACCCGAGGATAAGGTGCCTCTTTGAGGGAGTGTGTTCCACTACGGAGTGCCACTACCAGAAGGGTCTCACCTCAAGGACAGGGACGTCTACAGGAGGCTGGTGGCAGAGCCAGGAAGTCCAGAATTCCTGCTGGCCCTATAAGCATTCCTGCTGGCCCTATAAGCTGTGCAAAACTTGTGCAAGAATCTCAAGCAACATGTTGCAGAGCTTTGGAGGGGTCTGCCCTCTGCCTGTTTTGTGGGGAGATGGGGAGCCGTTTAGGCATTCGACAAACAGAGCAGCACTCTCTGAAGAAATAATCGCTTGTGATCAATGCTCCCCCCTGCTCCTCTTAAATATTTTAGGCAGCGCTTTTAAATTGGAATGCCAGCAATACCCTCCAGCTAACAGAGCGCTTGTGAGTCACTGGCTGACAGATCCACCTTGATTCAGTGCCTCCCCCTCCTCTTATGCAGTTCAATCTCTTATCAGCTCAGATTCCCACCCCCCCCACCCCTGGACACAAACACCTTCCCACTTCTCTCTTCCCTCCACCCCCTGCAGTCACATGCTCTGTTAAAAACACAAGGCAGTCACCTCTATCGCAAGCAGTCATCGCCCCACTGGAAGCAGCAAGGCGAAGGGAATTATTTATAGACTGGGAAGTGTAAACCAAGGCATTGCTGCAATGTTACACAACTCCCTCTGCCTTCTCGCCATCCTTCCAGGCAGCGATCCGTCCCAGAAGGACACGGCCCAGACCCTGCCGCCTTTCCAGAATCAAGAGCGTTTTGTCTGTCAGCTGACAGGCCACTTTCTAAGCCATGCAGATGTAATAAATGGCACTGGGGCAGACTCCTCTCCCCCCCCCCATCAATAAGCATGTCTATTTCTCACTGAGCCACTCCAGGCTTAGAAAAAGGATGACCAGGAAAAGACCTGGGGACTGGGACATTTACTGTCCCCTCCACATCCCCCCCCCCCTGTTTTTTTCCTGAGCCTTAACATCTCTGTTCAGGCTGCAGGAGAAAATTTAAATGACTGGGGAGTTTCTTCCACACAGAAAACCAGCATGCTGGAGAGAAGGGCACCCTAGACTCTTCCCCCAGCTTTCCATGTGGATGAAACTTTTTTTCATATGGAACAGAATTCAAACAGCAAACTGTCCCCTCCCTGCACGTTAGGTGTAAGCCAGTAAACTCCCTGGGTCAAGCCTCAGCTTCACCATGAAGCCAGCATCTGATCTTAAGCAAGTCACTATCTGTTACAGCCCTTTCCTATTGGCAAGAGGAAGCCAACATCACCAGCTTCCCAATTGTAGCTGTGACTGCCATTGCGGATTTTAAGTACAGTACTAGGATCAGTTACAGAAGCTTCTCTGCAATTGTGCAGTTCGGAATCTCCTCTGCCTGCAAGTGTGGGGCAGAATCCTGTAATACCAAGAGGCCATATTTTGCAATTGAGAAATTCTGTTTTAGAAGCCATATATAAATAGTTCCTTAAAAAACCCCAAAACCACCTTGCAGTTCTGGTGTAATTGGGATAAAAGAATGTCTCCCCTCTCCCCAGATAGTCCCCCAACTAAGCAACCACCAGCACCAGGTTTTGGATTCCCTTCTGGGCTTAATCAGTGACTCCATTCTCACTCTATCCATGCCCTGCAAAACACAGTCCCATTTTTAAACTGCTAAATTGCTTTGGAGAGCAGCACACTTGGTAATAAGCAGGACGCTGACCCCAGATTCAGTTTTAACTGAAGAGTTCTGGAGGAGTCTCCATCTGTACTGGAAAAAGGTAAATCACTGCCTTTCTGCCCTCAAGTTCTTTTTAAAGGGATTTAAACTGCAGAGGATTGTGCTATTTTAAGTTGCTTCTAGGGTGCAAAGCAATTGTCTGCCTTACCTTTCTTCAGTTTCTGAGAGCCCAGATTGACTTCTTCAAGCTACACAAAGAGGGTCTCTAGTGCAGCAGCAGACAAGAGAGCTAATGGCCAGAGTGAACCACTGATTGGGCACAGAGGATCAAGTCCCAAACATTTGGGAGAAATAGCTTATTTCAGAGATGGAATTTGGCTATTCAAAATGTTCAGCCTGTGTGCTGGATTCCTTAAGATCTGTTACCTTGGGTCTGGCTGCTTTCTTATTCTTGATGTGCCTGATTTTGCATTTAAGCCTTTAGCATTGTTATTAACGAGTAGTTTTGAAGTTTATTTTAATATTGACTTTTGATTGTATACATATATGCTGCAAGCTGCTTTGTTAAGAATGTGCCTGAAAAGCAGATTATAAATTCCTTAAAAGACCAGTGTCTTTTTATTCCTTTTTAAAAAATCAAGTTTAGTTCAGTGCAAAAGCACTTGGGGGGGGGGGTACACACAGTACAATCCTCCCGGGATAGTGCAAAATGCAAGTGGGGCTTTGCATCTCTGGACGTTCCCTTCACCAAAGATTCCCTTCATATGGAAAGCATAAGCTTATCTGGATGGAAGCTAGTCCTTAGCTCTGGGGGGAAAGCTTGGCTAGAGAACTCTCCTCCCAACATTCTAGAAACACACGCAGCTAGCTGTCTTACTACTGATTCACACCACGAGTCCATCTAGCTCAGTATGGTTGACATTATCCGGCAGCCACTCTGCAGGAATTCAGGCAGGGCTCTCTCCCAGCCCTAAATGGAGATGCTGGGGATTGAACCTGGAACCCTTGGCACACGAGGCAGACGTGCTGCCACTGAGCTGGGGCCCTTCCACAAGCTATAACATGCAGAGTGTATTGCAAATACTAGAGTTCGCCCCCAACTTGCAAATCTTCCCACTTATTTGGGTCACACCTGTGAACGGACACCAAAGTCAAATCTGTGGACAAGCAGTCCAAAAACACTAGCCGTATACCATTCAGTACCAAAAACATACACCATTTTGCACTTCCGCTGTACAGAAAATAGGCAACACGCAGCCCCTTTCAGCAAAGGGCTCAGGTGGGAACTGCTGCAGGTAAGGTAGCTCAGAACTCCATTTAGCATCATCAGATGCAGTTGGTGCCCAAAAGGAAAACTTGCTCAATTTTATTATTACATGGAATATCTGCATTCTCTTTTATTTACATAATTTGTGGCCATCCAAGCAACATGCAAAGCTAAAGATTACTGGGCCAGAAGCTTCCATCCAACTCATAAGAGAAGACAGCTGCACATCAAAAAGGTGGAATAGCATAGCTGGAAAGGAGAGGGGGTGAGAACTGGCAGAGAAGGAGTCTTATTTTAGCAGCCCAAGGCTTAAATAAAACACTACTTACAAGACTACCTGCAGTGAGACAAATTGAAAGCTCCATTTCACACCAGCCTTAAACATCCCTGGAAATGGGACAGTGACACATGCCTTTGCGAGAAGCACCTGACCCCTGCTAGCACAACCTCTTGACACTGCTCTCCGCAAGTCTACAGGACTGAACAGAGACGAGTCTTCCTAAAGTACAGAAGCTGAAACAGAAGAGAAAATCTCATGCCACCTTTCAGGCCAACAGAATTACGTATTATGGTTTGCGGGCTTCGGGTCTAGCTAGTGAATTGAGCATTATCCTGAGTTAAAGTGTATATTCTACAGCTGATGGGAAGGAACTGTAAGCAGTGAGGTCAGAATGAAGTGCACAAAAGTTACGATAGTGATACCATATTATTAAGGATGGCCGTTACATACACAAAAATTGGTTAACCAATTAACACAAGTACTGCTCCAATACTTTGGCCACATCATGAGAAGAGAAGACTCCCTGGAAAAGACCCTGATGTTGGGAAAGATGGAGGGCACAAGGAGAAGGGGACGACAGAGGACGAGATGGTTGGACAGTGTTCTCGAAGCTACCAGCATGAGCTTCACCAAAATGCGGGAGGAAGTGGAAGACAGGAGTGCCTCGCGTGCTCTGGTCCATGGGGTCACGAAGAGTCAGACATGACTAAACGACTAAATGACAACAACAACTGTGATTAAAACTGCAGGGGGTGCCTACTCAGAGTAGACCCACTGACGATAATGGATCCACCTTAGTTATGTCAATTATAGTTTCAGTGGGACTACAAGCCCTTTTGCCCTGATTCAAGCCACACTAAACTTCTTGATGGTTTCATGTTGCAGCTTCCCTTTGCAGTAAGGTCAATTAAAAAGTGAACTGGGGTGGTTGAATGTTCTCCCCCACTTGCTTTTTGGCTCTTGCTCTGTGACCTGCTAGTGAAGGATGATGATGATGATTATTATTATTATTTCTTTTTCTTTTTTTTTAAAGAATATTTATTCCAATTTTAAAATTACAAAAAAAAAGGTATAGAAAAAAAACAAACCACATACATCTTACAAAAAACAGACAGTAAAAAAGAAATAAGAAAAAAAACAAAAAATCACAATAGAAAATGACAAAAATCAAATTAGACCATTACAACCATTTTCCCATTTACTTGTTTCCATGACTTCCTCTCACCTCCCTGCTTTGTATTCTAGTTTAAATCGTATCTCCAGCAAATCCTTCTAACCTTCTTTTCTTTTACTTATTTTAACATTCGAAAGTATTTAATTCTCCTCTATCCTCATTTTACACTTCATATTTACTTATTCCATTATACCCTGTCTGCCAATACGGTCTAATATTCTTCTCCAACCTTTTTCTAACATTCTTTTATATTACAGTGTTTCTGAAGATATATTTTAAATTTTTTCCAGTCTTCTTCCATCAACCCTTCTTCCTGATCTCGAATTCTGCCGGTCATCTCAGCCAGTTCCATATAGTCCATCACTTTCCTCTGCCATTCTTCTCGGGTAGGCAATTCTTGTGTCTTCCAGTATTTCCCAATAAGTATTCTTGCCGCTGCTGTCGCATACATAAAAAATTCCTGTCTTCCCTTCGCACCAATTGGCCGACCATGCCCAAGAGGAAAGCCTCTGGTTTCTTCACAAAAGTATATTTCAATACCTTTTTTAATTCATTATATATCATTTCCCAGAAGGCCTTGATCTTTGGGCACATCCACCAAAGGTGGAAAAGGTTCCTTCATTTTCTTTGCATTTCCAACATTTATTATCGGGCAAATGATAGATTTTGGCTAGCTTGACTGGGGTTAAGTACCACCTATAGATCATTTTCATTATATTTTCTCTTAATACATTGCAAGCCGTAAACTTCATACCTGTGGTCCATAACCGTTCCCAGTCAGCAAACATAATATTATGCCCAACATCTTGTGCCCATTTAATCATAGCAGACTTAACCATTTCATCCTGTGTATTCCATTTCAACAGCAGATTATACATTCTTGACAGATTTTTAGTTTTAGGTTCTAACAATTCCGTTTCCAGTTTAGATTTTTCCTCCTGGAAACCAATCTTTTTATCTAGGTTAAAAACCTCCCTTATTTGGTAATAGTGAAGCCAATCTCAAACTTTAGTTTTTAATTTGTCAAAACTCTGCAATTTTAATTTATCTCCAACTTGTTCTAAAATTTCACAATATTTTGGCCAATTTGTCTCCATATTTGTTTTTTTCAATGCCTTTGCCTCCATTGGTGACAGCCACCTTGGTGTTTTGCATTCCAACAAATCCTTATATCTCACCCAAACGTTAAACAATGCTTTCCTGACAATATGATTCTTAAAGGCCTTATGCGCTGATGATTATTATTATTTCTGGTGTCAGGTGAGCAAGTGAAGATGATCAAGTGATTTCCTGATGTTGTGGATGACAAGTGCCAGTGTCTCTAGAGAAGTCACGGTGACAAGTCTGGCTTTGGGTCTACTTCAGGACCTGGTCCCTGTTTCCATATCTGTTATATGGATTGTTGCTGTTGGTGAGTAGCTATTTTAGGCTGGGGGACTATTTGCCACCCAAGGCCTGAGAGGCGGAAGTTATCATTGTGCAGTGAGTAGTTTCAGCTGGGAACTGTTCTGGCACTCAACTTGTATCTGCAAGATACAGATACAGGATGCTGACCTTCCCTCATACTTAATGCTAACAAGATTACGAAACAGCACTCTGAATACACAAAGACAGGTATCCTGGGGTTGCAGGCTAAGCTCTCCTGCTCCACACTTTAGCAAATATGCTGGATGCGTTTTCCCCCTTGGGTCTCAGTGTGTTTCTCTTAATTCACAACGTGCCATCAACGGAGAGAAGGTGGAAGGATCTCCCTTGCACCTAGAGCACAGCACCATCACCATTCTGCCTTGTACCAGAAGGGAGATCAGACCAGACCCTGCCCACTACTGGCAGCCATCCCCACATTTCTTCTCTATTCTGAAAAGCTTTTTCCATTCTTGCTGACCTCAGCAACTCTTAACTTGTGAAATTAACAAAAGCTACGTGTTGGCAGTGAAACACTGCATCAACACACAATTGGACACTTGTCAACTTAGCAGGGGGAAAGGAGAGGTTCAGAGTGAGAAGGCTGGGGAATTAGAAAGTATGGCAGTGCTAAAATGGTTTCCTTCCACCGATTCTGAGATGCGTTTGTTTTGTGGTGAACCATTTCACACTCCTGAGGTGAGTTGCCATCTGCTAGAGACAATGTGGAGGGGCACCTGGGAGATATTCCATGGCACTACCAAAACAGCAGGGAATATCCACTGGTTTGACTGTGACTGTAACACTAAACCACAGTTTAGCACTATGAGAATAAGCCTGTCACCTCCCACCCCGGAAAGCTTATAGTATTTGGGGCTTTTTAATTTAGAGAAAAAGGAAGAAAGAGGTGACATAATATAAGTGTATAAAATTATACATGGCACAGAGAAAGTGCGTAGAAACCCCCCCCCCCCCGCCCCTCATGACCCTAGAACTCATTGTAATCCGATGAAGCTGAAAGTTGGAAGATTAAGGCCAGATAATAAGGAGCACTTCTTCACTCTGAGCACAGGCAAACTTACTCCCACAAGAGGCAGCAATGGCTACCAACTTTCAAAGAGGATTAGACAAATTCAGTGACAATAAGGCTATCAGTGACTACTAAGTCTGTTGGCTATGTATTCCTCCACATATACTGCTGGAGGCAATGCACTTCTGAATAGCAGTTGCTGGAAAGAATAGAAGAGGAAAGTGCTGCTGCGCTCAGGTCCTGCTTGTGGGCTTGCCATGGGCACCTGGCTGGAGACTGCAAGAACAGGATGATGAAACAGATGGACCACTGGCCTGATCCAAAGGGCTCTTCTTAAACTCCTATGGTCTCTCCTCCACAGGCACAATGAGGAATTTGCAAACTTTTCACTTACATTTTTTTCAGTATCTACAGATTTCCATGTCATTTGAACCTGGACAGATATGATTTATCTCAGCTACAGTTAGTGGGAAGAAGTTGGCTTGTTTCCAGTGAGGGTTATGAGATAAAAATCAAAGTTTTGAGTTCAGATGACATGTTAAACTGTGGTTAATCTAAAATGGAAACAGAAGCATTTGATTTCTGTTTAGAGTAAGAAGGTCAGAGGAGGATAGTCTTGTTCTAGGGTTTAGCATTATGTCTGAACAGACTAGTTACCTAGTTCCTACAGCTGTTCAAGGGTTTAAGTCCCGGAAAAGCATTAAGACACCAACTTTGCTCACAAGAGACTTTTCAAAGATGCAACACAAGTATTCCACATATCTGCATGTGTAGCATAAGTGTTGCATATGAACCCACTACTATGTAATGCCAACATCCACTTACGTGCCAAATAGGAAGCAGCAAGTGACAGAGGGAAAAGGCTTTATTACATAGCCTGACCTCTTGTAAGGGGGCTAAGTCATGCAGCAAAGAGACTTTTTGCCCTCCAACAACAGTCTGGAGGGACTTCAGCCCCCAAAGAGGGAATTGGATCAAGGAAGTTTGCAGCCAAATGGAGTTTAAAAACATCTGTGCAAGAATTAAAAGGAATAAGCATTAACATTAGTGAGAAATCACTACTGCCTATTGGCTCGGATCCAGACAACTGTAAGCAGAGGGAGAAAACTTCAGATGTCCTGCAACACACCTGAACCGTTCACTGAACTGTTGAGCAAACATGAGTGGGATATTTCTCACAATTGAAAATCACAATGTCTTGCAACGGTGCTACATGTTAAGAGAAACAGTAAAAATAAAGCACAGATTGTAGAATATAAACTGGATATGTGCAAAATATTGTCCCCAACATAAGCTGGCTTTCAGAGGACCCAAGTATCAGGCCCATTAGTGGTACTTCCCCTACCCCACCCCGGTTTAGCTCATACTGAAGACCCATTTCTCTCCAAAGTGATTACAGCCCAACAGTGATCACAAAAGTTACTACATCCTGTTGTTACATCACTAGACTAGGCTACATGACAAAGTCACAAATCCAATCTGAAGGAAAGGGCTTGTTCCCGTTCATGGCTGGTCAACATTTTGGCAAAAACACCCTCTCTTCCAGCTCAGAACTATTCAAGGCAACTACAGTGGTACCTCTGGTTGCAAACGGGATTTGTTCCGGAGGCCCGTTCGCAACATGAAAAGAGCGCAACCTGCAGTGGCGCGTCTGCGCATGCACAGGTTGCGATTCACCACTTCTGCGCATGCACGTAATGCCATTTTGCGCTTCTGCGCATGCACGAGCAGCAAAACCCGGAAGTAACCCTTTCCGGTACTTCCGGGTCTCTGCGGGGCGTAACATGAAAGAACATAACATGAAGCGGACGTAACATGAGGTATGACTGTATCTGAGAAGGGTGTATTGACCATACAATGGGGGCAGCCAAAGCAAAACCTGAACTGCGCAATTAATAGAAAAAGAGAGCTGGGGTGGGAGAAGATATGTGTCTGAACAGAGACGGCCATATCCGAAGGTTTCTAGAGGGTACTTTCAAATATAGCGAGGGCTTATACTGTCAAGGACACCACTAGATCACTGCTTGTGGACAAATTCCAAGCTGCCCTGGTTTGTCTCACCCATGCCTCCCAAGCCACGGTTTAGCCTCTTAATTCCAGCCAGGAAAACAAGGCATCATCATCTCCCTCTAGGTCTGATGGCTCATTCGACACACATTCTTTTCACACCTTGCTCCAATGTTAAGGACTAAGAACAGGAAGACACGCAGGCTTTTAAAAGCAGCATGTTGGACACATAAAGCCCAGGGCCTCGAAATTCACCCACACTTGTTCTGACGAAAGCAGCAGAAGGACACTGTTTTTCAGTCCCTGCTGATCACTTCTAGCATTTAAAGGCTTAAGGGATTAATGGACCACCCACCTTTGCACTGAACAAAAGTGCATTCTCCCCACCACCACCCCTCTGAATTCAAGGCCCTTTAGACCACAGCACACATTTATGCCTTCCCCATCCTCTCCCCTCCCCATTCTCCTATGAAGTAGCTCATTTGCAGAAGCCCACTCTCTCCTTGCAAAGCCTCAAACTGTAGCCCCAGCCTTGCCTACATAACAACTCCTTTGCTCCCCTCCACCACATTCCCCAACCACCGTGATGCTAGCCTGACCCTTGAGGTTGGGACGGGCAGCTGCGGTAGCTAGTCTGCAATATACCCCCTAGCAGAGCAAAGCAGCAACAATACGGTGCACTCTCTCTCACTTCAGTGCTTGAAGGGACTAAGATGCAATACTGGAGGGCGGCGCACAACAACAATGGTGTAGGGGTTTTCCCAAACTTGGGTCTCTAGCTTTTTTTGGATTGCAATTCCTATCATCCCTGACCACAGGTCCTGCTAGCTAGGGATGATGGGACTTGTAGTCCAAAAACAGCTGGGGAGCCAATTTGGGAAACCCTGGCATAGAACATCTTCCCTGGGGTGGCCCAACCGCAATCATGAGAAAGTAGGCAGACAGGCAACATTGGCATACAAATAAAGATGGCCAGTCACTTTTGTCAAATGGTGCCGTCAAATTAGAGGCTCTGGAGACTCATCTCTCCCAAATTGGTGCATCTGGAGGACACCAGCCTGGGAAGGCTGCTTTGTAGAAGAACAAAGATTTATCTCAATCCTATGCTGGATTGAGCTATGCTAGCAAGCTCTAAATATGTATTCCCTTAAAGCAGAACAATAACCCACCTAACTGGAATACAAGGCGGAATGTGCTACGGAACCTAGTGCTCACACCAACTTTGCCGGGAGGTACGAAAAGTCCCAATGGATCTTTGGCATCCCCAACCAATATCTCATTTTCCAGGTCTTTACCAGAAGCACTACAGCACAAAACAATAGTTAGGATTTTATTGTGATGGTTAGAACTCTTTCAGCAATCTAAAATATATATATAAAATGATGCTGGATTGCTGCCATGCTTCACACTCCAGGGTGCAAATGCAACCATGAAGGTTTTCCCAAGAGAGCCTGCAACCTATTTCTATCACTCATTCCATCTTCAAAGCTGATAAGCAGAATTAGCAGCTGCTTTTGGCACCAGCAATATCAATTAGGTCAGCATAAATCAAGTTTTTCTTGGCACATTAAGAAAATGCTCTTGCACACACGTTTTGGTACAACATGTTTTTAGGAAAGCCACTATTGCTGGGTGTCTTTTTTTAAAAATCAACACTTTTCAATCTAGGTTTACCTAGGTAAGAATTATTTTAACTCCAGTAAGCTGGTGAATAATGGAGTGTGAAGCCTGGGGCTTACATGCCCCATTATTATTACAAAAGATGCAAAAGATAGTAAAAACTGGCCTCTATCATGGTGGTTATGTTGTAAATTCACCCCCTGAAACAGTCTCCCTTCCTTCAACCGCTTGTCGACATGAAGCTGAGGTTTTGCAATATGTAAATTTGGATTCCACTGATTAGCTGGGTAAAAGCCTGTTTAATTAGAATTACACTTATTCATATGTACTCTGCTTTTATTTCTAATCAGCCTACTTTCTCTAGTATAGTGAGGCCTACCTTAAATTTTGCAAGCTGCACCCTTAGTACTTGGGATTTATAGCACTTCTATGCTTAAATCATTCAGCTGCTTTGGGAGCCTTTTTAGGGCCAAAAAAGTAGCTTAAATTATATTATAAATAAAAAACAAATGAGCCAAATCACTGGGGCATGTTTATGATGAGGGGCAGGCAGACCTCAGGCTTTTCAGATCAGCGTTTGCTTTTAATTGCCCCAGCTAGTATCCCAACTAAAGCAGTCAAAATTAAAGAGCAGAGAGCCCTGTTTCGCCCCCCAAAAAACCCCACATTCTGCGCCTTGGAATTTATTTTCAGAAACAGTTCGCCCATGTTATATTGTACAGTATATTGCCTTGAGTTAACTGTGCAGGAGATTAATTACATAGTAATAAATAATAACAATCCATTCCTAAATAATAACAATCCATTCCTAAATCAGCTTTCATTTCAGCAGTTTACTTACATGACAGTAATTTTACTGTTAAACAAATGGAAGTCAGAAACCCTTGCCAATCTACTTGCCAACCAAGCAAGAGACCTACCAGCAGAGTGAGTTCGGCTTTCTTCCCACCTTACTTACAGCCACCTAGCAGATTCAGGTTCGAGTGGAAGTCTAAACAAGGGGACTCTATAGTTTAAACCTTACTCCTATATAGTGTCCTCTTGATGACTGTCTATGGAAGACATGATATAACAACGAACACATTCTTTAATTTAATGTTAATAGGCTCAACTTTGGCAGAGATGGGAATTTCTATTACATTTTTATGGTGCCTTACTCTAATGCAGAGTGACTACCTAAACTTTCTAGTGAGGACCAGACACACAAATCTGCTATGTGGAGAAGATCCTGTTTGCAGAGATGTAGCTCATCCTTTATTTCCCAGATCACCTTTCCCCCTTCTGCGCAAGTTGGAGATAACAGGAGTATAATACAGTAAACCCACAACTTACATGGAGGTTACATTCCAGGGGTTGTGCCTAAAGCCAAAATCGCATGTAGTCAAAACACAATGGGTGTAACGGCGGGTGGGATTGCCAAAGCCATTTTCCCCTAGATACCTGCCCTCTTCCCATCCCCTTTTTATTTTATTTTTATTTTTTTGCCAGGCATGTAAATCTGTATGAGCACAAGTTAACTGCATGTAAGTTGCAGGCTTACTGTAGTTCAAAACAGCTGGAGGGTTGGCATATGTCCTGCATTTTAAGTTCCAAGCGAGAATGGCAGGCAGGATTTGCTGGTGCTTCAACTAAATTTTTTCCTGGCTGCAATATTAATGTTCTAGTGTGGCAACACCTATTCTCTATAACTCCCGCCTGTTAATATTAGGCAGGTGCAATTGCTGTACTGTTTTGATGCCTGCTAAATATTTTTTTGTTTAGGCAGGCCTACACAGACATGCAATTTGATTAGGTACATCTGTTTTTAATAAAGCTGATTTCATTTATATTTAGGTCATGTTACTAAGTTTTTATTGCCACCTTAATGAATATTTTATCTCATTTTATCTAAGTCGCTTAGAGATATTTTATTAAGCAGTGTATAAATTTTGCTTAATAAATATTTGGAATTTATCTAAAGGTGGGCTACTTAGAAAGAATTCACTGAAAGTTCCAGGCTGCTATGCCCAGTCAGACCAGCTACAAAACACATTTTGCATTATCTGTCTCTTAGGTGAGGTAAAGCATTTACCCCACAGTATTTTAGGAAATAATCTGAACTAGTCAACTGCTGGGACACTGTGTGCAGATTTTCAACACAAGATAAGGAATCACAGGGAGGTAAAGAATTCCTTGCATAAAAAGGCTGCTTTTGCTGTGACACCTTCAAAGACCAGAGGCTACAAAGATACAGCAAGAGCAAGGTGGCTGTAGAAGATATCGGCCTATTTTAGGGTTAATCACTGTGCTGCCTCCAGTTTTCACAGTATGTACACTTGCTAGCTTGTGTGTGCATCAAATGCCATGTGTGCTTTCCTCCTCATGATGGTAAACATCACTGCTAGAAGCTAGGAAATTGTTTGCCTCCCAAATCATAGCTAGGGAAGTAAATGTTAGCCATAGTTTACTCCTAACCATCTTTAATATCAGTGCAGCAGTAACCAGGAAAAAAGGGGGGCAAGCACAAGATCTCAGCCCAATTTCTTAAGCACAGTTAAGGTAATGCAGGTTGGATGGCCACCTGTCAGGATCCTGCATTGCAGGGGGTTGGACCAAATGACCCTTTGGGTCCCTTCCAACTACAATTCTATGCTGCACTACATCTGCACCAACCCTTGGTGTTCAAGCAGTTATCCCATAGGACAAGCTGCTGTAGCCAAAATCTAATCCTACCTCAGTTTTTTAATATAGCAAACTACTTATATGAGGAATCCTCACTTTGGACGGTTAATATTCTATGGCCTTTTAAATGTGTTTGGGGGGGAGGGGGTGTCATTGTTTTGTTTTTGTTTTAACTATTTATTTTGTGCTTTTATCCTGTATTTTTATCTGGGTGAAGATAGATAGATATATATATATATATATATATATATATATATATATATATACACACACACACACACACACACACACACACACACATTCCAGGACATGTGTGAGTGGGGATTCCCCTATTCCCTCCCCTGCCCCATTCTGTTCCATTCTGTCCAGGCCTCTTTCGGCACCGTTTACAGCATTTATGTTGGTTGGAGCATGTGTGCTGATTGCACAAAAGTGGGGAGACTCCTGTAATGTGTATGTACATGATGCCTATATCATACAAGCACCTATTCAATTAATCCTTGAGTAATGCAGCACCTCTCTGGGGGACACAGTGACCGACCACCGCAGCACCCAATCTATTATGTGCATCTGAGCAATGATTACCTCCCACTTCTGCATTTTAGCTGCCAATCCCTACCCTTAATAACAGAGATTTTTAAACAGAGGTGGACAGAGGGCAACTTGCAGCTGATTGGGCAACCGCCTGTATAAAATGCCCTGTGTCAGCAGCTTTGTTTGGAATATTCTACAACAGGCAGACATTGAACTATCTGGTTCACAGTATCCCAGGAAACCAGAGATAGTCGCTTGCTCAGCTAGCAAACTAGGAGAGCAAGGCCTTGCAATTCTCCACTGGTTGCAACAGCTTGTCTAAAAGCCCGAGTTAAGTAGGACTCTCTCAAATGTATTTCAACGCTTTGCATACCACTTAATCACACTAGTTTCTAACCGATGTACAGGAGACAAAAGATACTAAGACTAAAAAGAAACTGAAGTATAAAAGATACGCCTCTTCCTAACACAGCTCCTTCATGTGAAATAAGGGTAGAAAGTAGTTTCTGCTTTATCAGTCAAGCAAGGTACAACCAATTTCTATCATGCGATAAGAGTGATTTTAGCTAGGCTACACTTCTGTGGAGATACTGTCTACTTTTCACCAACAGAAACTGGACCACTTGTATACTTGCAACAACCTCATAATATCAAGGGAGGATGTGTGTGCACACATACACTGCCCTGAAACTTCTTCTCCATTCATTAAATTCATTATTGTTATTATCACTAATTAAATTTCTATACTTTATCTGAGGATAACAAGACAGTTTAAAACACAAACTATATAGCATAAAAACAACCCCCCACCCCACAGTTTATAAAGCCGTAAGATTGTTTAAGTAGAATGTTTTTGCCTGGAGCCTATGTAATGAACAACAAACCAACCATAAATATATACCCTCATAAACCAACTAGACATGAAGCCAAATAGATGAATTTGGCTTCAATTGATCATTTGGCTTTGCGCTTCCAGCTAACGACCACTTGAAGAATGATTTCTGGCAACCACTCCTACATTTATTGCTTTGTGCGTCCAGTGAACGACTATTTGTTCCAGCTGTGTTAAGACATATTTATCGCATACATAACCAGTACAGCAATGAGAGAGACACTGGTACATTCTATGTTTATGAGTATCTCTAGGCTTGGTTATGCACACTGCACTTCAGTTTGCTCACTGTCTAGTTGGTTTATGAGGCTATATATTTATTCCAGTAAAATTGTTTTTTATATTCATAAGCCAGTTCTGGTGTTGTTGGTTTGTTGTTCAATTATTGTTATAACGCCTATGTAATGAAGGCACCAATTGGGCTTCCTCGGAGAGAGTGTCTAGGGCTGGGCGTTGCTAGGTTTTCAACATTGTGATGTATCACAGCCAAACATCGCAATCTGGCAATGCATCCGGATGATTAAAAGGAAGGGGCAAGCTGCCTTGTCCCTGGCCCCATGAGGTGCGGGGATGAAACCACCTCAGCTTGGAGTTGAGGTGCTCCCACCCCACCACACACCTGTGCTTCTCAAATGAGAAGTCTAACGGAGCCCCCACACCATCTCTGGCTTGCACAAGCCAGAGAGAGGCAAGGTGGGGACTCCTTCAAACTTCTCTGTTAAGTGGCACACGGCCGCCTGTCTGTGCATGACATGCCTTAGTAGTGTCCATGCTTGCAATACACACTGATGATATACAATAGCTTCCCGAGGGCTTTCTCCCACTCCTGCCATTTCACTCAGTTACCTGCCCCTGCAGCACGCAACAGGAAAATTAAACTTTAGACACCTCATGGGGAAGAGCAAAATGAGAGCCTTAATAGCCACCCCAAAAAATGCAGGATAGGAGCAGGGACTGCTAGAAGTCATAAGGCATATAAAATGCAGTTTCTTTCATAAGCACGATCAGCATCAGTGTTGCTGTTGGCACAGAACAGTCACAGAAACAAGATAATCTGATTCTTCTAGTCGGCGACGGAATCTGTTATGCACATCAACATCTGCCTGTCTCAACCAGTTGCCACCTTTCGACAGCACCTTGCCAGGATCCCATGCTGTTTGATGTGCAATGCATCTCATGCGACTTTCTTGACCCAGCTGCTGCTACTGCAGTGTGCTAGCTGCCAAGGGAATCTCGGCACGGGGAAAAGATGCATTAGCAGAAGCTGCTTTTAATTTAAGGAGTTCAGCTCTGCAAACAAGGGCTAAATCCCCACCTGGAATATCTGAGAATTTGGCTTGCCTGCTGCTAAAGTGTAGATGATACTGGGCCTATTTTATGGTTGGCATCCATTTGTCTTGGTAGACAATAGAAGGGTGTGCCGTTGGGGGTGAAGTCAAACTGTTGGAGAGTTACAGCGCCTGTTGTAGCTGTAGACACCGATACAGGAGATACATGTTTTGTTGAAGCTGGGGCAGATGAAGATTTACAAGATCAGTTATGCTGGAATAAGTCAGGAGCCAAGTTAAGGAAGTGGCAGCCTGTTTTATATCTGAGCGAGCCTAGGTTGAAGGGTCAAGGATCCCTGGCAAAAACTAAAGGCTTTATTCAACATTCTTTGCTTGCTAGTGGAAGACCCCCTTGCCCTAGCGGTTGGGTGAGTTTTAACACTGCACAACAGAGGAATCCCAATGCAACAACAGCACTAGCAGAAACTCATTACATAGGGTTGCACAACAAATTGTGCAACAAAGTTATCAGCAACCTGGTTGTGCATTCCTTTGTGAAGTAAGGTTCCCCGGAACAAAAGTTTTTGCCAGCGGGAACAAGTATACTGCTATGTGTCTTTAACCTGGAGCTACATTGACTGCAACCCTCTCACTCATGGGTAAGCAGTCATGAAGAGTACAAGAGGGCTGTGTCTGATACTCACAAGGGGGCTGAGGCTTGAGTCACAGGCAGGCAGGTAGGCAATGAAGTGAGGTGGCCAAAATGCCATGGAATCAGTGTCCCTGCAAACAGAGGTTGTCACTTCATGGCAACAAGTCCACAAATAACCTCAATTGCATAACACAAGATCACTTACGGTAAACCGGCATAAAAAAACCCAGATTAACATCTTACAATGTTTCTATTTATGGGCCATGAAAAGTTGGAAGGATTTAAAATATCAATTCAAAACCATTTTAAGAAGAAAATACTGCCTTGTGAGAACAGTGGAAATCGACAGCATGCAATATTGTAGCCTAACATGATGCCACAGTAAGCCTCATCTCCTTTGGTGTGGCTGCAAGGAGGAGTTTGGAAGTGTTCAGTTCTGGTTTCAATTATCTACTGTCTATCCCAAATATAGTCAATGATAAGTATGGTTTGTTTAGGCAAGCAAGCTTTGTGCCCCATTGTTTAAAGTTGGCTTGTTTCAAGCATAGTTAATATACCAGAGTTTGTCAAGTTTTGATGTGACAAACTGTCGTTGATCTCAAATGGAAGAGTTAGGTTTCCAAACTACCCCTTGAGAGGCCATGCAAGGGCTTCCTGCAGATCACTCTCACCACCATAACATTACATCCAAACACAGCCCAGGTATCAACAGAAGTCAATCAAAATGCGGTAGTCAATCAGCATCTGCTTATGGACACAATCCAATGTCAATTCTTCATGTGCAAGACCCAACAAAACAGAATGGACTAGAGTACAATCTCATTGGATTGCTTTGGTGCCCTCAAAGGTTTCTGATGCAACTGGCATTTTATACCTTTGCTTTTTACGGTTTGAGTTTAGCATTTCAGATATTTCTGTCGAGAATACATCAGCTTTAGCTGCATTGCACACAGAGTAGCTTAAGAATGCATAGCCAAGGGTGAAGAGCTTTTGCAAACACACACTAGATGAAGTTGAGAGGGGTGTTATTTTGGTCTTGAAATGTTCATTAAGCAGAAAAAAGGCTTAATGTGAACAGCACATGAGATGATTCTGATGACATCTGTGACAACACCCAGTTTCCTATGCTACTCCAGTCACACAATTTAATATCTGTGGAATAATCTGGGAGATATATAAGGGCAGGTGGTTTGTGACTGGAGCTTGCAGCCCTTGTGTACAGGAACTTCCTCCTCAAGATGCTAACATATTCAGGTCCGTGATCAGCCCAGAAAGCTTATCTAAAGCACCAAAAGCAAACTGCTGGAACATGAAAAGGCAGCATGCAGAGGACATTGAAGCCTGTGTGTGTTCATTGCCACTAACTTTTGCTTTGGGACAGTCTTGGTAAGAGAGGTTAGCTGTGTTTGTAGTGCACACAACAACCCTGACACAAACTTGATGGGATGCCAGGTTCCCAGTAGCCTGTACTTCCCGAATATGGAAAATGCAAAGTCATCAGATGTTTGGGAAATGACCTCAGGGGGTATTACAGTACGATCTGCTCAACATTTATGGAAAGGCTGCCTGATGTTTCACAAGAGCCAGCTTGCGTTTGAATAAAGGTGCTTAAAAACGTTCTGTGCAGTTTGTGCATCCTAAAAATGCTACAGAAAGTTTCAGGGACGGGGCATGGGAATTTTCAGACTCCTATATGAGCATGATAAAAAATCCTTTTGCATTAATTGCACTAGTAGAATTATTCTAGTAGGCTGGTTGGTTTCTATGTGTGGCAATCGATTATGGATGGAGGAGTTGCAGCATGTGGAACAGCCCAAAGTTTTACAGATTACAACAGAAGGCACACACTCCAACACAACATGCATAACAGGGAGCTGTTTTTAATTTGGCAGAGGGTGACATGACCTGCACTGAGCAGACAAAGTTAGTTAGGGGTGTCGTCCTGCAGAGAGACAAACAGGTCCAAGGGTGGATTTGGACAGCTTAACACATTCAAGCAGCTACACTCAGCACGTGAGCGACGGCTGAGGCTTTTAGATTCAGATACCAGCTGCCACATGATGAAATTTTAAACAAAATAAACTCATCCAACACCCCAGACTCAACACAATTTGTTTAGGGGTAATTTAAAGCAAACGATCCTGGATCTAAAAGAGAATCCAAGCATTAATATGCCTTATTGCCATGCATTCATTAGCTTAGAAATCTGTTCTGCCTCTTCACTAATCCTCTTCATTTTAGACACACTGAGGCTTCTGCCAGTTCAAGGGAACATTTGTAGTAGTGCACCTTAGTTCTCACTTTTATCCTCCAGTATTACTTCTAAATATCCTGCGTCCCAAAACAAGCCATCTTAATGGCATGAATCATGAGCAAGAGAGTGCTATTCAAGTAGGCCAAGGCGGGTGCAACATTTGCATCTGATGCATTTGCATTTTATATTGCATTTGCTTTCAGATGCAATATAGCTTCTGTCCCCTGTACAGGTTAAAGTACCATTACACTTGTAATTAAGGTTGCTACTGATGTAAAAGGACCTGGCTAACAGTTCAGCTCTGTGGAACAATGTGTTCTGCTACCCAATTCAAAAACCTGTGTGCACCTCACTCAAAAGAAGGCATCACTGCAATTTTTTTCAAAACATGTTCTGCAAGGTCAGCAAAGCAACTAGACCACTATTTCCCAAACTTGGGTCTCCAGCTGTTTTGGACTACAACTCCCATCATCCCTAGCTAGCAGGAACACAATGGTCAGGGTCCTGTAGTTTTGCAGTCCAAAAACAGCTGGAAACCCAAGTTTGGGAAGCACTGAACTAAACCAAGAGCCTTTATCTCTAACCCACCCTCCTCCCCACCTGGTAAGGAAAGGGGGCATGGGGGAAGAAGATAGAGGGTACAATATCTGCTTTGCCCATAGACACAAGACAATTCTTGGTTAGAAACTTATTTGAATTCCTCTTCACAAAGAGTTTTAGCATCCCATCTAACAAATGACCAGCCAGGAACCTTCTTCTCTGAAGCAAATATGACATGGACAAGAATAGACCAAATCTGGATAACTAGAGGACTGGCTCCTAAAATTAAAAAAGCAGTGATTTGTCCGAAAATCTGCTCCGATCACAATCCAGTAAAGATTGAAATGACATTAACGCCAATTGGGGCCTTTAGATGGAGGATGAATGACTCCTTATTTAGGAATGAGGAAATTGTTAAAAAGGCTCAAAAAAATCTGAGAGATTATTTTGAAATAAATTTGAACACTACGACAGAAAAAAAGAGTGATTTGGGATGCTAGTAAAGCGGTGATGAGAGGATTTTTGATACAACAAAATGCAATTAGGAAAAGATACCAAAATGAGCTACCTTAAAACCATGGCTTCCCAAAACTAGAGGAAAAAAGTAAGTTTCAATTGATGTTGTCACCATTTGAGGTTCCAGGGGGAGGGAGTTCCACAGATGAAGCACCAGTAAGAATGTATCCCTATTGTGTTTTATGACTTCCTTGATATTGTACGTGGGCTGGAACTGGTCTGTGACTGAAATAATAAAATTCAAATTCAAGCACCAGTAAGGGTAGAAAGGTCTATTCCCGGTCCCAAAGAAGTCTTCCACCCCACTGATAATCTCAGGCTGAGAAATATGGGACAACCCCATACATGCAGTCCTGGAGAAAAAGTAGTCTGGAACACTTCAAGGCAGCTTGTGCATATACTTGTGTATAATAAAGATACACCAAGTCTGGGTTTCTTGAAGTAACCAAGTTTGAAGGCAGAATATTCACATCCTGGGTATAAGTAGCTCAAATGGCACCTCCTTGCATTGAGAGGAATCCCTCAAAACACCAGGCATCCACGTTAATTTTAAACTGGTTGTCGTTTAGTTCTTCGGGCAGAAATGGGCTGTGTTAGACTGACAATGAAACTTAACAAAGTCACAGCTGACCTTGATAGAAACGTGAAAGTCATTTTGAGTTTCACTTTCCCTCCCCAAAACGTGAAATAATATTAGTGATAATCAGGGGCAATCAACAGCCCGCATTATGGGTGATTTTAGGAAAGCTGCTGACTATTCCACCACAGATTTGAGTTGTCTCATGGCTTTACTATTTGTGCTTAAAACAGTAGCATGAGCCTTATGAGCCATTTGGTGAGCATAAAACTTGGGAGCCAGAAACTTGCAGTACACCTCCCTTTTGCACTGCTAACAAAATTACTCAGCTGTCCATGCGATGTAAGTGTCCTTAGGAAGTGGTGACTCACGACCCACGCATGCGCAAATGCGGATTGTGTTCACTTCAGGATGCGAATGGGGCTCCGGAACGGATCCTGTTCGCATCCAGAGGTACCACTGTATTGAGAACATTCCATCCAAGCAAAAACACAGGGTCCCCCAGCATGGTCTACACTGGCTAACAACAAATATCCAGATTTTCACACAGGGGACCTTCCCCGTCTTTCCTGGATATGTTAGAAGTTGAACCCAGTACCTTTCGCATGACCACTGAGCTATGACCCTTCCCCAAAGGGCTGTAGACATCAGTATTGTCCTACCCTAGTCACACGCTGCCACCAAGATCTGCAAAGAAGGGGCAGAGACATAGCACTGGTGGACAGGAAAGCAAATGGTGGCCCTCGGATTCAGGATGAAAGCCCTGCTGCCATGGCCAGGGTCAAGTCTCAGTCTCCCAGCTGCCTAGAATTGAGCAGCTGTAGTATATGATCCTCTCTAGTGAGCTGTATGGAGTTGGGCTCAATCTTGGGTTTCTTCCAGCCTCGCTGCTGTAGAGGACTACAATTCTCAGGGGACAATGCGGTGGATCAAGTTTCATTTCCCAGCAACTCCAGCCTTTCCAAGATGCCAGTGTTATTATCGGTACATGCAATCTTGCACCTACAAACTACTAAGAGGGGAAAGAACGGGAGGCAAATGCTAAGCAGGAGACCAAATAGTGCAGTGAACACTTGCCCTGCAGTCTGACTCCAGCCACTCCAAAAGTCATGCAACAGAGGAGTGAGAGATACTGTCTGACTGACCCCTTATTTTTATTACTTTTTACCTGAGCATTTGCACTGTTTTTTTAAAATCTCAGTGTACCTCTAAAGCCACAGTGTGTTCCACAGGCAGAAGCACTTAGATTTATACTAGACATACATGGTCTGAGCTTGCAGCTTATATTACTTCTCCTGACTGGCTTGGGGAGAGGGAGTAATGCTTTGAGCCATATGCCACATGTACCAAACCAAATACTGACAGTGCCAAGGAGGCAGCCTGTTTTGCTTTCTGCTCCTCGTGGTCTGGGGAAAGGGATTATGTGGTGCTGCAGTGCGCTCTGATAGACGACCTTAAAGCACTCCGCAGCCTCCCTCGCATAATCTGGCTTCCAGGTCAACGGCGAAGGGAAGGCAGCCAACAGAGCCACCTGTCTCGCCCAACCCTTAGAAAGGCTTACAGAGCAGACCTCCTCAACAGATGCCAATATTTGAATAATCCTGTTATGATCACGAAACCTTGGAATGTTTATCCACACCCCTTCATCCCCCCCAAATAGTATGCGAGATGTAAGGTTGCTCATGTGACAGGTCCCAGCCAAAAAAAGAAAAAGGAACAGCAGTGTATACTCTGTGCTATAATATTCCCTGTAGTTACATATATTTTAGTCCTCCGGGGTTTACAATCAAATTAGTCTTCCCAATTCTGGAGTTTTGAGCAAAACTCACCACAAGCACATTTTGTAGGCCCAGGAAACAAACCCCACAAACAGAAGGACACTCCCCACAGCCCCGTGACTGAAGTGCCTGCAAGTGATTTGAGTAACTTGGACAGTTAACTTGGACCAGATCCTGTAGAATTTTATTAGTTATCAGCACAATCAGAATGAATTTCAGGAACCAAAATCCTTTTTTTCTGTGTAGCCTGAGCAGGAGCAGAGAACAATGTTATATTTAATTGTTGTAGCTTGTCTTCACTTACCCCACCTCACCGCCCTGTTCACAGTTGTGAAAAATATCCTTACGTTATGAATGGTCTTACGTTATGGACAGTCCCTGGATAAAGTGACTTTTCTTCTTTGCCCTGTGTCCTTTTTAAAATGTGGCTCTTTTGCGGAAGGGGGGTGTTATTGGGTTGTTTTTATTTTGATTATATATATTGTGGTTTTTATGTTGATCTTCTCTGTGAACCGCCCTGAGACCTCTAGGTATAGGGCAGTATATAAATTCAATAAATAAAAAACTAATAATAATTCTTTAAGCTCTCAAAGTTAATAAGCTAGCTAAAGGTTGTCATCTGAACTAGCCAGATGTTTAACTGAGAATCAATCAATCAGTCAGTCCATCATTTGAAAAACAAGACTTTAGAGCCGTCTTGCTCCAAAATGGCAACTACACATTCCATTTTGGCAACTGTAACCTTGGTTTAAGGAGCCATTTGGCACCTAAATTCTATTATCTGAGTCTAACACTGTTTTTTGCGCCTGAAACCCAGGTTCAGGGTGCCATGTAGCAAATAGCCTTTATATCCCAGTTTCTAACACTGTCTAAAGGGAGTATTGTAGGAGGCAGCCTTGCAAATAAAACCACGAAAGTCCCAAGCCCATGAACACCGCCCCTGCTTGTCACTTGCAGCACTCCAACAGAAGCAGCAATTGAAACTCCATCCCCATTTGAAGAGAGCTTCTCTCTTTTACCAGTGTTCAAGGCAAGTAGTGCTTTTCAAACGTGTACTTAAAGCAAGTTAGATATTACACATTTTTTAAAGCTAGGTCCTTAAGGCAGTTGGGGGCCCCTACAAAGCATGGAGCACTCTTTTTATGCCTTCAACACAAGGACCCAGCTGCTAACCAGACTCTGCACTGCCACTGAGCTACAAAGAATTCATTGTTTTGATAGCAAAAACATGTTCAAATTTACTGCACTTGCTCCTTTAATACTGTGTCTGGAGAGGTTTTGTGATCAAGATGTTAGCTCTTGCTTTAAAGGCAGACTTAAATTGCAACATACTGCGGAAAAAGGTAAGATACAAGTAAGATCCTAAACTAGAGGAAGTGTTTGCTAAAAGGGGTTGGATGTGGTTGGTTTTTTGCATTTGTTTTGGTTTCTGAAGAGTTGCCATTGCAGAAAATCATGTGTTCTACCCAGTTTGTCAGTGAGTGTTGGAAGGTCAAGATTTTCCTAAAGTTTATCCCCATCACAAGGTTTTCCAGGCAGGCTACAAAAGTCAAGGAGTTATTGCCACCAACTCACTTTAAAGGAGCTAAAGTAAGTGAGGACAGGAGGCAAGGGTGCTTGCTTGTTTTTCTGGACTAGGGCAGGCCAGTAGGCATCTAGCTAGCTTGCTTGGTAATTTTATGGCACAGCAAACATCTAGGCATACTGTGCCAGAGCCCAGATTACATTTCAAGTAGCCATCTCCAAGTTTCCATTCCATTCATGCATAAAACTTTGTCACCAGTCATCTCTCATTAATCCTCAAGAGCTTAAAGGGTTCTGAATTGCAAACTTACCCATGATGAGGCACAAAGGAACAGCAGCACAGAAGTTGCTCCTCCTGCTCTTAGTTCTCCATTAAGGGGCAGTGTATAACAAGAGGCGTCAAGAGGTAAAGCTTTTGCCTTCTTTCAAGTGCAGGCAAGATGTTCCTAACAGACGAAACTGCCTCTACATAGAATTTTTTGGCAATGTAGAGGTCAGCATAGCCTTCTCCCTAGGGAAACATGCAACTCTTGTCACCCACAGCTTGAAGTGCTAATTGGGGAAAAGCTTTATCAAATGCCAAGTGGCACACTGACATCCCTAGCTCTGGAGCAAGAACCAAGCAATTATTCAGGCCTTGCTGCCATTTCTTTGTAGACTTTAGGAGAGAGTTTTAGAATAAAGCCAGTTTGTTCACTGGGGCAAATTGGGATTTATAGATAGGGCAGTTGGTGTAAGAGGATTCTGCCACAGCAGCAGCACCTTTAAAAGCTGGTACCGGCAATTTGGGAGACTGGGAGTGGAAATGCATATCCAACCCATGCTTGATCACCAGCCATCAGCCAAATCTTCCTGGCACGTTGCCACTTGCCAGGCCTTCTGTGGCAACTGATAATTGCTTCTGGGCAAGTGGCAGGTTTCTATTCTACTAGCTTCCTCACTCAATAAATGCTTAAGGCTCTACCGCAAGCATTCTATTTGACAGAGCCCCCATTTAGTTATCAGAACTGGGAACTGCTACTAGCTGCCATTGCCCCCAGCAGTCAGACGGTGCACGTCTAGTCACTGTAACATAACACAAGAAGCCTGGATAGCTCAGTTGGTAAGAACATGGTGGTGATAATGCCAAGGTTGCAGGTTCGCTCCCCATATGAGACAGCTGCATATTTCTGCACTGAGGGGTTGGACTAGATGATCCTCAGGGTCTCTTCTAACTCTACAGTTCCATGATTCTATGAAATCTATGATTCTAAGGAGCACATGGAAGCAAGGCTCCTCTGAGGCAAAACACATGCTTTGTACACACAAGCTGCCAGATTCATTACAGCAGCCCTGCTCTAAAGACACATCTGGTCCAGCATCCTGTTCTCCCAGTGGCCAGTCAGGTGCCTATGGAAAGCTGAGTGAGGCAGTGATTTCCAGCACCAAGAGGCATGTTGCCTCCAGCAGCGGAGGAAGAACACAGCCCTTGTGGCTAGTAGCCATTGATAGCCTTACCCTGCATTAATTTGTCTAATCCTCTTCTAAAGCCCATTGTTACACTCAAGTCACCATTTCCAGACATTTAGCTAGTAGGAGAGAGATTTCTTGAGGTCTTTTGAGAGCTACTGCTTTTAGAGTAAGTATTCAAAGCAAAATGGACTAATGGTCTGCCTAAGCTGAGGGCAGTTTCATATGTGAGGTCAAATCCATGCAGATTAGAACTTGGATGGGCATACAAGCAGTTCTGTCACCATGACACACTTACAGGGGCAAAAGAGGCTACCAAGTCCCAGACAGATAAATGCTCTCAAGGCACAGGGCAGACCAGGGAAGAGATGAAAACAGCAAAGTTTACATCAGTGTAATGGAGCTATATGTGTGAAACCTTCTTGTGTGATAGTGGGAGTGAGGAACAGTAGATTTTTGGGGAAACAGAAGGGCCTGCTGTGCTTAAACTGAAATAATAAAGGGGGGAAGCTTAGTTTCAGAAACCCCACCTGGCCCCTTTGTTCCAATTCAAGGGCGCGGGAAAGTAGGCGGGAAGGATTTGGCAATTTAATGGAACAGCAGTATTAAGGCCACATCCAAACAAACAAATGGGAAGGCAGTAAATAGGAACAGGATAACAGAACCAAATGGAAGAGACACCACAGATGTTCAGGCACTAGGCAGACCAGCATTCCTTAACCCAGCTGGCAGGAGCCTCCATTAGCAGCAAAGTTTTGGAATCGGTTAAAGACTGGTTTGTTGCAGCACAATGTTTGACAGTAGTCTATTGCACAGGTCCAACTCAAATGAGTCTCCACTAAAATCTCTCTTGGCAAATCTCTCTTTGACTCTTAGGACAAAGTCCCTTCAGCTTGTGCTACGAATGCTGCCCTACAATTCACTCAATACCGTGCTATTTCCCAACTAGCTCACAGCACCAACACATCTGTTTATTACCATAGTCGGAACCTAACGTCCAAGACATCTCTAAAACTTTCTAAATCCCATGAAAGTGAACACATATTTTCCTTCAAAAGTAAACAATTACAGAAGTGCCCATTAATCCTTAATTTCCACCTACTGCAAGAACTGTTTCTCTAAAGGATCCTTTTGGATACTGAAGAAGCAACAGCATTCCCTTTCCCAATTTCCCTGGTAACTTGGTGGCAAATATCTTTAGGGGCAGAAACTGTTAAACATGGCTTGCTAAGATAGTATTGACATGGCCTCTGACAAAGGGAAAGCTTGCCTCATCAACCATTTGTATAAAGTAATCCAGCAAATATTTGTACTTCCAAAAAGCTCTTGATAAATTCACTTAAGCTCCTAAAAAAACCCCTCAGTAGTCATAGGATAATAGGGTATGCATCTTGTTAAAGATGGACAATTATTACAGTATATCAATAGCTAGCATCATGACAGCTAATTGGAACCTCCAGGCAGAGCTAGCATTTTATTTAATTCAATTATTAAGTTATCTAATTAAACAAAATCCTCTAGACAGTGAAAAATTTGACTGGCAGATGCTGCACACAAAACAGGGGATGATCACCTACATCCCATCCCATTTAGAACCTTTCCAGAAGTATTTACTTGATAGCTATTGGTTTAATTCAGGACAGTTACATTCTTAACACATACTTTAACCTGGAGGATTAACAAATTCATCCACCTTGCACAATTTTTCCCATAAGATTCCACCCAACCAGTTTTGTATTTGGGATACGAGAATCAAAATTCTGCCTTTTAAAAATGCTGCTCTTCACTTCTATGCTGTCCTCTCTCTGAAGTGATCACTGCAGCATGCACGGGTTCTCTCCCCATGCCATTTCTGTCTTCACAACCACCATAGGGTAACCATCTGCTTCCTGCTCCCTCCAGGATGCCTACTTCTACAGTTCTGAGATAGTACACTTTGGTTATCATTCTGTCTCATGTACAGAGGCTAGTGGAACAACGTTTTGGGAATGTGCTGGGTTGTGGTGAAAGGTGATAAAATTCCAAATGTTTACACGTATCTGATCTTGAACAGCATCTTGTCCCAACCTACTTCTTTCCAAATGTATCCTCCTTGGTAATGGGATGTCATTCCACTCACCACTGATTTTTGCCCTCTAGTGCCAAAAGTCTTATGACTGAAAATATGACAATTTTCTAGGCAACAAAATATCTGAATATCAGATGATGTAAACAAACAAGGGGTGATAATGAAATTTGCCATTTAATGATCAATTATTCAAAGCATTTCGTAGAACTGTAAAGATATGCCAATGAGAATATGTTACCTTTTAAAATAAACTCCAGAGTTCTCCTCTCATGTTTAGTTTATTCGAAGCCAATGTTAAGTAACAATGTTATAAAAATATGCCATGGCTGCTGAGAAGAGCCAGACAAAATTAAAGGCAAGTCACTTTTTAAAAGAGGCTATGGATAGTGAAAAGCAGAGTATGCCTTTTCCTGAATGGGGAATGCTTGTATACCTAGACTCCTCACAGCTGGAAGAAAGGAAACAGGAGAAAAGATTTCTATCAAGTGAACACTGATAAAATTGAGGTTTCAGACCTAAGCACACGTACTAGAATTAGGTCCCACTGAATTAAGCAAGGCTTGCATCAGAGGAAAGAGGCACTTAAGAAAATTCTTAGTTTCTTGAAGTTGGCCATGTTGCTTTGTTGTACTTAGGGATCTCAACAACCAAGCATGTCAAGCATTTAACTGTTCTACAGCTCAATGATATCCAAGTGAAACGGAACCGGTACGGGCTGGGTGCAATAAAGGTATCCCAATATAAGGTAAAAGGTAAAGGACCCCTGGATGGTTAAGTCCAGTCAAAGGCAACTATGGGGTGCAGCGCTCATTATGCTGCAGGACAAGGGAGCCAGCATTTGCCCACAGACAGTTTTCCGGATCATGTGGCCAGCAGGACTAAACCGCTTCTGGTGCGACGGGACACCATGTCGAGTGCCAGAGCGCATGGAAACACCATTTACCTTCCTGCCACAGCGGTACTGATTTATCTACTCGCACTGATGTGCTTTCGAAGTGCTAGGTTGGCAGGAACTGGGACAGAGCAATGGGAGCTCACCCCTTCGTACTGATTCAAACCACCAACCTTCCAATTGGCAAGCCCAAGAGGCTCAGGGCTTCCCACCACAGCGCCACCCACTCCCAATATACAAAGCTCCTAGCTAAGGCTCAGTGTCTGTTACTAGAATTTGCAAAGCACCCTTAACAGCTCATTCACATTCATTTTACAGTTAACTGCAGATGCTGCATCCAACACGTTCCAACCCTACCTAGCTGAATACAATAAAAGGTGGATCCAGGTTACTCAGATTTTAATGTGCAGGTTTTAACAGTACTCAGGGCGCCAGTGGAAAGAACTTTTTATTGAAGGTCTAACAGGAGATGGCTGAAATATAGCCATTACAACTATTCAGCATTAGACAAAATCCCAGTTATCCCTTTCCTTCAAAATTAAATGCGCTCAATTGTTTTTCCTTAAGAAGCACAATGTTTAAAACCCCCTCAAAGGTAAAACTCCAGTTTCAGAGATCTGCATGTAGGCCTGATACATGGGTTATAGTAAAATTCATGCAACACTCACTGGAACTAAGCACACTGTCTCTCTTTACAGAGTAAATAGCACAATGTGGCAATATGGGAATACTTTCTTGCTCAGCCTTGCACGATGACAGTTTTCTTACACTTGGTGAAACTACTTTGTATGTAGGAGGGAATCCCCTCAACACTTCCCCCAGTGACAGTGATCTGGTTTTCGTATGTCCTTTAAGAGTTTGACATAAGAACTGAGGGGAAAGGGACTTTACTTCTGGTTGAGGTGTTGGACTATGTGAGGAGACTGTGCCCAACACTATTTTGTGCTTCCAGAATCATGAGGTGGCACATACATAGGACATTATATGCCACTGCTCTAAATACTCTAAGAGGAGCTATAGCCCACAAATTATGAAGATGGTGAAAGGGGCGATAAAGGGGGTGGGCAGAGAACCAAGACAACAGATAAAAGACACCACCTCTCACACTGCCATGCAAATGGGAAAAAATAAAACAGGGGAGCCAGACAGTGTTTAGTGATTAGGGGCAGGGGTTCAAGATTATGGAGAAGCTAAATCAATCCTTAGGGATGTGTGAGCAAGAGAAAAGAGTTGCCCTTAGATGAATGGCAGTGACAGGGAGCAATGTCTGGGTACTCTGTCCTGCATCTACTGAGAAAGTGCTTTTTAGTGGGAAAGAACAGAATGCGTCCTAGGAGACTACCCTATATAGAGACAAGTTATAGAAATATGGAGGTTTTCACATGAGAAGGAGAAAGTAGGCAGGACCTGAGATGCTCAAAGAAATCTGAAGCATAAAGGAGAGAGTAGTGAAGGTAGAATCCCCAAGTGTCAGCAGGAGATTTCTGCAGACAAAGAAGCATAAACAGTGGCAGTATTGTTGAAAAAAACAGAAAGATGTAGAGCAATTTGGGGGGGGAGGGGCAATTTTGAACGGGAGAGAGAAGATGTGTGGGATCATGCCTGCGGTGCTGGCAAAGGCTCCGTTTAGAGCAGCGAGTTAGTTCTAACATAGAAGAAATTCACTGCTGCTGCTTACATAACAGAGCATGCTGCAAAAAAGGGGGTGGACACATCATCCTCAAATATAAAAAAAGAAGTTATCAGGGCAACCTCACAGGAGCTCCTACAGAAGGTTTTGAAGGCAAGGCGCTTATGTAGCACCACTTATGCTCCAGAGGTGATGGGGGCATAGAAGTGAACCCCTCCGCTCACCTGGGGGCATAGCTGTCAACGTTTCCCCTTTTTAAGGGAAATTCCCTTATTCTGAATAGCATTCCTCGCAAGAAAAGGGCAAAGTTGACAGCTATGGCTAGGGGACTGTGTCCCAGTTAGGACTCCTGTGGGTGGATGGTGGGGGTCGTAGGCAAGCCTGGGCGGGCGAGGGGGCTATATGTGTGTCCGCCCCTCTCTCAGGGGAAGGGGTCCCGCTCACCTTGAAGTAGCCTCCCTCGTAGAGGGTGTTGGGCGGCCCGAAGATGGCCACCTCCCAGTTGTAGAGGTCGGACTCGTCCACCAGGGTGATGCGGAAGCCCTCGACGGGCTCCTCCTGCAGCCCCTTCAGCTCCAGCATCAGCGCCTTCTGCGAGCTGCTCACCTGCTGCTGGGCCATCGCGGCGGCGGCGGGCGAGGGCGGCGGAGGGGCGGCGGAGGGGCGGGCGAGCCGCCGAGGGGCAGTCAGGGCCGGCCGGCCCGCGGAGACCCCTGCAGCTGCCGCCCTCCGCCGCCCGCCCGGCCGCCAGCCCCGGGGCCCCCGCCCGCCCCCGGGATCCGGATCCCCCGCCCGGCCGCCGCCGCCTCGTCGGCCTCCCTCAGCGGCGGGGGCGGCTCCTCGTCGCGAGGCCTCCTCCTCCTCCTTCTCCGGAGAGGGGCTCCGCGGCGGCGGCGGCGGCGGAGGCAAGGCCTGCGGGGGCTCCGGCCAGGCCTGGGCCCGGAGGCCTCTGAGGGGAGGAGGAGGAGGAGGGTGAGGGAGGCCTGCGAGGAAGGCTCCTCCTCAGACGCCTCGGGACTCGGTGAGGGGGAGAAGCGGGGCCCGCTAGGCCGGTCGGTCGGTCGAACTGACGGACCCTCAGGCCTCGGCCTCGCCTGCCTCCCCGGGCGCTCTCTCCACACGGGGACGGACGGACGGGCGGAGAGACGCGCGCACGCGCACACACACGGCCGCCAGAAGCAGCAGCAGCAGCAGCAGCCCCGCGGCCGCCGCTTCCTTTTGTGACGGCGCCGCCGCTCGGCCAGTGACCTCAGCGCGCAAGTTCCACCGCACGCCCCGCCCCCGCCGGTGTCGTCATCAACCCCCGCCGTCGCCTGCTGCTGCTGCTGCCGCCGCCCCGACACATAAGCCGCGCCTTCCCTCGCCCCGCCCCCAAATGAAGCCTCCTTCTTGAGGTCTGCTACTGCTTATTGGCCCGATTTGGCACGCCCGCCTCCTCCTCCAAGCAGCTCGGCGCTCGCGCTGCCCATATAAGGCCTCGGCCATGCCTCCTTCTTGCTTATTGGCTCGATTTGCAACCCCGCCTCCTTCCATTCCCGGAGCTATTCCCCGATTGGGCGCGCCGCCGGCTAAACTACGCGACCCACGCATCATCTCGGAAATTTAAGGCTTTCCTCCAGTCTCTTATGATTGGTAGCTGGTTGCAAAGCCACGCCTCAGCTCCCTCCTATTGGGTAACGTTTGCAGTTGATCCCGCCCTTCTCATCGGCTACGTTCTTCTATTGGCTAAAGGACCAACCGTATATATTATATAGTTATCCCGCCCTCTGGGGCAGCGCCTTCCACCTCATTGGCCACGGTGTCTCTTTTCTAACTTGCTGCCTCCCTTGTCTATTGCCTGATGCGGAACCAATCTCTTCCTTAGGTCCATCCTTTCTTAAAGGGGCAGGGCCATTATTTCCTTCCTGCTTCCTAAACAAAGCCTTTTTCCCCTCTCCCAGGATATACTGTATGTAAAAAAGTAAATTGAGAACGTTACTAAGGAAATTGCATGATGATGGGCTGTTTGCTACAGAGTCTTACTGCACTGAGTTAGTCTTGTCCATTCATAATAATAATAATAATAATAATAAATTTTATTTATATCCTGCCCTCCCCAGCCGAAGCCGGGATCAGAGCGACTAACATCAAATGTATAACACATTAACATTTTATATATATATATATAAATTTATTGCACTTCTATAATGGTTCTCTCCCCCTCTTCATTGAATCCCCAGAATAACAAGCCTGTGAGGCAGGTTAGGCCAAGAGACAGTGGCTGCTACAGGACAGTGGAGGGTCTATGTCCCATATGTATAGGAGGATCAGTTGTTGGGAAGTGAGAAATGTCCCCATTATCATCTGAGGAATATTGGAGGATATTATATAGAGCTTTTATATGCCTGTTGTCTTTGTCCATGGAGTTTTCTTGGCAGGGATACTGGAGTGGCTTGCCAGTTCCTGCTCCAGGAGATATGAAAGGAACATTTCGTACAAAGATTACCATAATAAAAGACAAAAGTGGAAAGGACCTAACAGAAGCAGAAGACATCAAGAAGAGGTGGCAAGAATACACAGAGGAACTATACCAGAAAGAAATGGATGTCTCGTATACCCCAGGTAGTGTGGTTGCTGACCTTGAGCCAGACATCCTGGAGAGTGAAGTCAAATGGGCCTTAGAAAGCACGGCTAATAACAAGGCCAGTGGAAGTGATGATATTCCAGCTGAACTATTTAAAATTTTAAAAGATGATGCTGTTAAGGTGCTACACTCAATATGCCAGCAAATTTGGAAAACTCAGCAGTGGCCAGAGGATTGGAGAAGATCAGCCTACATCCCAATCCCAAAGAAGGGCAGTGCCAAAGAATGCTCCAACTACTGGATATTGCACTCATTTCACACGCTAGCAAGGTTATGCTTAAAATTCTACAAAGCAGGCTTAAGCAGTATGTGGACCGAGAACTCCCAGAAGTGCAAGCTGGATTTCGAAGGGGCAGAGGAACCAGAGACCAAATTGCAAACATGCGCTGGATTATGGAGAAAGCTAGAGAGTTCCAGAAAGACATCTACTTCTGCTTCATTGACTATGCAAAAGCCTTTGACTGTGTCGACCACAGCAAACTATGGCAAGTTCTTAAAGAAATGGGAGTGCCTGATCACCTCATCTGTCTCCTGAGAAATCTCTATGTGGGACAAGAAGCTACAGTTAGAACTGGATATGGAATAACTGATTGGTTCAAAATTGGGAAAGGAGTACGAGAAGGCTGTATATTGATGCTTTTGAATTATGGTGCTGGAGGAGACTCTTGAGAGTCCCATGGACTGCAAGAAGATCAAACGTATCCATTCTTAAGGACATTCCATTCTGGAAGGACAGATTGTGAAGCTGAGGCTCCAATACTTTGGCCACCTCATGAGAAGACTCCCTGGAAAAGACCCTGATGTGGGGAAAGATTGAGGGCACAAGAAGAAGGGGACGACAGAGGACAAGATGGTTGGACAGTTGAAGGAGGTGAGGACAGGTGACCCCACCTAGGCCCGAAGTCACCCCCCCCCCAATAATCACCCCAGGCCTCAAAACTGTCTAAAATTCCTTTTGTCTTCTAAAAATCCAAAACAGCTTTTATCTGCTCTTCTCTGCTTTTCTCACAAGATGCATAGGAAAAATGTTATTCTTTTATCAGTACAAGAAGGCTTCAAAAGGCTAATGAATAGGCTCTGTCATTGCCAAGAATACTCAAGCCTGAGAACTGACTTTTCTCTCATTCAGTTGCAACATCTTTGGACATGCTGAAACCCCTTGGCTTCTCACCCCCCCTTTCCTGGGAAGAGTCCCAAGACAGGAGCTTTCTGTTCATGCTCAGGAAACTCACTCAATATGGGGCAGGACTCTCAAAGAGGAGGAGAAAGAGGAGGGAACTGGAAGGGGAATATATGCTCTGTGCACATGACTGTGAACTCGTGCTTGTTTGTGAACTATCACACTTGCTCCTTCTACCAGTTCATGGATGGTAGAAATAAAGCTTTTTCTCCGAAACTATTCCTTGAGTGTCTGTTGACTCCCATTTTCCCTTTCCGGGCGCAATATTTTTCCCACCCGAGGGCAAAGCCTCATAAGGTTACACAGTGTTCTCGAAGCTACAAACATGAGTCTGACCAAACTGCGGGAGGCAGTGGAAGACAGGACTGCCTGGCGTGCTCTGGTCCATGGGGTCACAAAGAGTCAGACACAACTAAACGACTAAACAACAGCAACAACAATATAGAGCTTTATACCCCAGTAGTGAAAATCCAATTTCAGGAGAGGTGTACCATGTCATCAGAACTTTGCCCTAGAATGCAACTGTGCAGCAACGTTTTGCACTACCTGAACCAGGGGTCAGCAACCTTTTTCAGCCGTGCGCTGGTCTGCCGTCCCTCAGACCATGTCGTGGGCCGGCCAATTTTTTTTTTGGGGGGGGGAATGAACAAATTCCTGTGCCCCACAAATAAACCAGAGATGCATTTTAAATAAAAGGACACATTCTACTCATGTAAAAACACACTGATTCACGGACCGTCCGCAGGCCAGATTGAGAAGGCGATTGGGCCGCATCTGGCCCACGGGCCTTAGGTTGCCTACCCCTGACCTGAACCTTCCAGACCAAATTCAGGTGCCCCCTTTATAAGAGGTATGCAGTACAGACATAAAGGAGATGGCCTTCTCAATAGAAGTGGCTAGCAATGGGAAAGAAATTCTATTCAGTTCACATTTAAAGCCCAACCTATCAAATTTGCACTTTCTGAAACCATATGAGAACCAAAGAACACCACGCCATCCAAATTTGCACTTATTCAAATTTTACAGAAAGGTTTACAGAAATGTACTGTATGCGTTAGGAGAAAGATAAAGATATTAGCAGATTTTTTTAAAAAATGCATTCTATTAGGAGAAATACATGTAGCAATTTGCATTAAAATGTCAAGCATTAATGTGGAGAGCTGAATGTAAGATTGGAATAATGAAAAGCTGAGAGTGCTGAAATTGACAGATCCTTTCAGTCCTAGTGGTGACACCCAAATTATGGAATTGACCCCCCACAAAAGAAGTCTCACCCAGCATCCATGTTGCAGTTTTTCCAGCACCAGTCCAAACCATTTTTATTCACCCAATAATTTGATTTTATTTTTTGTCGTTTCTAGTTCTACCCCCAGAACTCACCGTTCAGTGAAACCTGGGACACCCAACAATAATTTGTTAGGCGTCTGAAAGAAAACTTAAGCGCTGGGCCCAATTATATTAAATGGTCAGCAGTTGAGATACCCAGAGAAAGGGATTTGAAATGTACCCACCATATTAAAGCCAGTTAATTGGACGGAACAATTTCAGAAAGAAGCAGAACTGTGCAGCATTGTACTGGATGTACTGGTTCATTAAGCCTACAGGCTGTTCTGAATGCAAGTTATAACTTACATAACTCATGTCATAATTGACATGAGACCAAGCACTTTGAAGAACAGTAAGCCACTTCTGGCGAAAGCCACATATTTCACTTGCGAATAAAAGAGCTTGTGATTTCTTCTTTTCCCTCCCATCTTTGCATCTTTTGTCTTGTGGCCTTGGGGCAGAGCTCATCTCAAGAGCTTACAGCTGCTCCCTTATCAGAACACAGAAGCCTTGTTGACGTCG